TGTTTTACCCGTTGTTTCCAAATCATCTTCTTGAATACACACTGTTCACACATCTGTTGATTTCTGCCACTGTTCTTGGCTCGACACACTTGTGCAATCTTTTTGTCTTGATTTCCTGATAGCTTCATCACCATTCTTGATTACAAATTACATTCTTGTTTCTGTTTTCTGTGTCTTTTTCCAAATTATTGCTTTCAATCCTTGCCTTTAAACTCTGAGGTGCCAATCGCCGAGAAGAGCCTCGATCAAACTCTTCAGGAGATCGATGCTGAGCTCGAGGCCGAGAAGGCTGCTGAGAAGTCTTCCCAACTGTCTTCTATATCCTGCTATTAATGCCGAGTAGTTTTGTTTCCTTCTTTTACTCCTTGTACCTTGTACCTTGTACTTTGTCCATCTTTGTATGCTTTTAATTCGGCCAATGTGCCATTTTTGTAGTCTGAATAATTTATTTTTCAATATTCAGGCCGAAGTGCCTTCTTTCTTCTTTAAATGCATTTCTCTGATTTATTCTCTGAATGTATGTCTTCTTTTTTCTGCTCTTGTATGATTCTATACTTAGAATAATTTGCATGTCTTCAAAGTACACCTTGACTGTGCAATCTCTTCGGGTAAATACCTTTGTCACAACTTCTAATCTTGCTCATCTCGGTCTTGTCCTAACACTTGAAAATATTGTAACAAATATTTTCACAAGTGTTGCTTAGGACTTGTCACTTTCTCAATGTCTTCTATCAAGACTTCAGTTTTCCATATTTCAAGTTTTGACAACCTGGTAGTCTCGGTAAGTACGCAGATATTGCTTAAACTTGACTTTAACTTGTAAATTTTTCTCAAAAATTTCAACAAGTGTTTAACCATCATCCTTTATCATAACCTCAGCTAAATTTCAGCTTGTAAATTTTTCTCAAAATTTCAACAAGTGTTAAACCATCTTCCTTTATCATAACCTCGATTTAACTATAACTTGTAAATTCACACAGAATTTCAACAAGTGTTTAAACCAATCTTCTTCTGATACGACCTCGGTTTAACTTCAACTTGTAAATTCACACAGAATTTCATCAAGTGTTAAATATCATATCGATTTAACTTCAACTTGTAAATTCACACAGAATTTCAACAAGTGTTAAATATGATCTCAGTTTAACTTCAACTTGTAAATTCACACAGAATTTCAACAAGTGTTAAGCATGACCTCGGTTTAACTTCAACTTATAAATTCACGCAGAATTTTAACAAGTGTTAAACATCATCTCGGTTTAACTTCAACTTGTAAATTTACACAGAATTTCAACAAGTGTTTAAATGTCACATCGATTTAACTTCAACTTGTAAATTCACACAGAATTTCAACAAGTGTTAAACATCATCTCGGTTTAACTTCAACTTGTAAATTCACACATAATTTCAACAAGTGTTAAATATCACATCGGTTTAACTTCAACTTGTAAATTCACACAGAATTTCAACAAGTATTAAACATCATCTCGGTTTAACCAACTTATAAATTGCTACAACTTTCAACAAGTGGTAAACATCATATCGGTTTAACCAACTTGTAAATTGCTATAAATTTCAACAAGTGGTAAACATCATCTCGGTTTAACCAACCTGTAAATTGCTACAAATTTCAACAAGTGGTAAACATCATATCGGTTTAACCAACCTGTAAATTGCTACAAATTTCAACAAGTGATAAACATATTCTTCTTCTCTCTGCCCCCTGCATGGCTTCCACATACTCCTTTGCGAACCTTATAAAAGGTCTTCAACCTAGCTAACTGCAGTCCAACCTTGTGTGTTTTTTTTTTTATCTTCTGGATCTGAGATTTGCTCACTGAGCTCTTCTCTTTTCGAACTTAAGTGCCGAGATCTTGTCTGCTAGAATCTTGGATCTGCTCACTCAGGTTGAGCTCTTCTCTTCTCGGACCTACTCATCTAGGCCGAGATCATGTCTTCTAGGATCTTGGGTCTGGAATCCGAGATCTGCTCACTTAGGTTGAGCTCTCATCTTCTCGGGCCTACTTGTCTAGGCTGAGATCATGTCTTCTCGGATCCGGGATCCAGGATCTGGAATCCGGGATCTACTCACTTAGGATGAGTTCTTCTATACTTGAATGTTATCTCCTTGAGAACGCTCATGCCCCCTGTCTTTACATCCCTTCTAGAAGGGTCTTCGTTATTCCTCAGGTATTTATCCTTCCATACCTGGAGGTCATCTTCGTTGTGGTATCCGCTTCGATCTGTTGTCTTTGGTGCGTTACCTTCTTGGCCAGCGTCTTTCACTCCGTGACTCTGGTCACGAGTTTCTGTGTTGTGGTTGTCCCATTCAATGTCGAGGTTGATAGATCTCTCATTCCCAGCAGGAGCGTTGTCTCTAGTCTGATCCTTCTATCCGTCATTGGCCATATATTCTTCTTTCTTTTATTGGCCATCTATTCTTCTTTCTTCCCACAGACGGCGCCAAATTTTGTGAGTGATTTTTTGACCACACTGCCCGTTTAGTAACCAGCTGGAGAGCACTGGCAGAATAGATGGCACCTAGCTGACCTGCAACAGAAATAAAATATTCCAGCGGTGGTTCGTCCACCTGGGGGCACTCCGACGATCAAGTCAGTATGTCTTTCAAAGATAAATCAAGTGTTAAACTCACAAGCTTGAGTATCAAAAGCATACCTTAGACCCATGGGGGTGCCTCTCTTTTATAGCCAACATAAACCTAGTCCCAATAGAAGCCTAACTTCTATGGACTCAGGATTATTGCTAATCTTGGACTCCCAGTAAGATTATGATAAACTCTCTAAGAGTTTTATCTTAATACAAACTGAAATCTTCTCTCATTCTTGGACTCTTGTCCCTCATCCAGATTGAGTTCCCTTTTTATTCTAGGACTGTTGTCCCTTATCCACTTATCTCGGATTTCGATATCTTCGGAGATAACCTCGGCCTTGCCGAGATCACCTCGGTGTCACGACCAGGACACGTGGCACCTCAGCTGACACGTCGGCGTCACCTTGCCACGTGTTGGTACTCAGAAAATATATCTCCACAATAAAAATAATAACTACAATTAATAAATGTGATAATTGTAATTGACAAAAATAATGCTGAAGACTACGTAATTCGATCCAGTCGAACCATCCCAAATTCGAATCAACCATTTTTATTACCTCAATATAAAAAATATTTTGAATTTTTATTATCTCAATATAAAAAATATTTTAGAGCTCTAATTTGTGAGTTGTAATTGCTCTAATGTGTATGTAAGATCTATTTAATGCGATGTTTTGACATTATTATTATTATTATTATTTTTAATTTTTCACCTCACTAAGACTCAATTAGAACCATAATTTTAAGAGGTTTCATCATTGTTGCCTCAGGCTTGTTTGAGAGAAATTAAAAAAGTTTAAAAAATTAAAAAATTATTAAAAAAATTTAAAAGTTTATACTATTTAAGGGTAATTTGTGGAGAAAGCTACTAAAGTAAAATTATTATTTTGTTATTTGAATTCAACTATCCAAAAAGTCAAAAAATAAAATTGACATTTTAATTTTATTATAATATTTTATTATACATTTTTTCATAAAAAATTTAAAAATTATTTAAAAAATATATATTTTTCTCTATTTTTTTAATAAAAACAATTAGAAAGTACACTTATATAACATATTCTAAAGAGAGACTTATTTATAAGTCATTTTTCAGACATTTATGGTAGGCTAAGTCCTGTGTAATTTCTTATAGAGTCTCAAGTCCTATTTAGATAGGAATGTATTCCACAATATCCTAGATAAACGTAACGTGACGTGATACTTACATAAACGTAATGTAACGTGACACCTACAAAAATGTAACGTAACGTGACACTTATATAAACGTAACGTAACGTACGTTACGTTTCGCAAACTTAATGAGTTTTTATTTTTTTAAATTGAATGTGAAAATATTGCTGGTTTATGTTGGTATCACGTTACGCTTCACGTTACGTTTATGTAGGTGTCACGTTACGTTACGTTTATATAGATCATAAATGTCACGTTACGTTGCGTTTATGTAGATATGATTTATGGTAATATGCAATTTCCTATATAGAAAATTACATGTTACCATAGATCATAAGTGTCACGTTATATTATGTAGGTGTCGCGTTACGTTACGTTTATATAGATATGATCTATGCAGGGCCGGCCCTGGGACATAGGCCACAAGGCCATGGCCTAGGGCCCCTCAAAATAGAATAAAAAAAGGGGCCCCCTCCTATTATAATTTAGTGTAATACATTAGGTATGTTTTAAGTCTAAAAAAATTAAAAAAAGGCCAAACTGACTTAAAATAAATTGACTCATTAAAAAATTGAAAGGCCATTCAAAAAAATTAACATTATTATCCATTGAAAATAGATCAAAAAAAGGGGGTTTCTCTTATTATAGTTTAGTCTAATATATTAAGTCAAAAAAAATTAAAGAATGCCCAAATTAACTTAAAATAAATTAATCCATTAAAAAATTGAAAGACCCATTTAAAATAATTATCATTGTTATTCATTGAAAATAATTTTGCAAAAAAATTAGAATATGCAAGTATGATTGATTTTATTTACTTATAAAAATAAAAGAAGAGTGAGGATCAAGCGATACTTATTAGTTATAATGTAATGCTAAGTATTTTTTGTGATTTTGACACAAATCTTTTGTCCTTTACTTTCATTTTTTTTTCATTCAATGAAAAAAAATGTGAAGGGCCTCAGAAATTTATTAGTTGATTTTTGATTTTGGACCTGGGAAATCTCAGGGCCAGGCTTGAATTTATGGTAACATTCAATTTTCTATGCCTCCGTTTGGGAAGTGGGTTGGCTTTTTGGCTTTTTTAGCCTGGGCTATTTTAGCCTGGTTTGGGAAGGGTTTTTTGGCTTTTTGGTTTTTTTGGCTTTTTTTGTGAGAGAGGATTGTAATGATTATGGGTTGGATTTGATGTTTTGTTTTTTGTGGCTACTCACACTCACTCACTCACTCACTCACTCATTGCATCTCACATAAACCCCTATTCTTTATTAATATTTCAGATCAATCACCAACAAAAACCCTAGACACCATCTTCTCTCTCTCTGTCTTCGTCAATGGCGGCGATTCTGAAGAAACCTCGCGAGGGCGAGGTGTTGGAGTCAGTCTACTCGGTGATCGCTCTGCTGTTCATACTGGTAGCTTGCGTCGACCTCTGCGACGCCGTTGCCGTCGTCGACGTCTACCGCCTCATCCAGTACGATCTCGCCGGTGTTCCCTTCGGATCTCGTCTCGCCTCCCTCAACCACCACGCCGGCTCTTCTATACTCACTCCCGCCGCCGATCTTTCACGTACTGTTATCCTGATTCCTGTTCGTGAAATGAACAACATCACTCTCATTCGAGGTATATATACTCTTCAGTTTCAACATTTATGCGTTAAAGGTTGGGAATTGTGTTTGATACGTATTTGTACTACTCATTCAGTTGCCAATTGATGATAGCTAATGAAATCGTTTTTTAAGTTTCAAGCTCGAATAAGATTTTTGATTGCACTTTTTAATATTAGAGGCGAAAATATGATTGATTACAAGCTGAAGCTGAATCATTGTTTGGAATACTCTTAATGTTGAATTTTATTGGTGAGAGACAAGTAATGTAATGCGGTGGAAATTTGGAATCGTGGTGTGTTATAAAGGTTTTGCTGATGAAAATGGTTGGAATTTATCTCAAGTCAGCTGATTTATTGGAATTTCTGCTTGAAATGGAATGAAGTAAAAAAAATACTCTGGTAGTGCTTTTCTTTTGGAAATGTTGGAAGGCTATTAGTTGAGATTCTTATAGTGCACTTGTAGTAGTTTCAGTAACAATTACAAGCTGAGAGAGAGTATAAAATTGGAGTTGTAATATTGATGGGTGTTTTAAAACTGAATATATGTGGTGTGAAAATAAATTTAAGTTTGGACAATCACAATTTATGTCACTTCAAAGATTCAAGTATCTTTTGGTTTTGGAGCAAAATGGATCTCTTGGATGAAAGAATGTCTCTCTTCAGCTAGAATCTCAGTCCTTGTAAATGGTTCACGAACTAAGGAATTTAGTCCTCAAAAAGGCTTCAGACAAGGGGACCCATTATCTCCCTTCCTATTTAACTTGGCTGTAGAAGGTTTGAACATATTACTTGTGAGAGCTAGGGAGTTGGGCCTGCTGAAAGGAGTAGTTTTTGGTGATAATAATGTGGTAGTTTCTCACCTTCAATTTGCAGATGACTCCTTATTGTTCTGTGATGTTGACTAGTCAGAAGTGCTAAATTTAAAAAGGATCCTTAGGTGTTTTGAAGTTGCCTAAGGGCTTAAGATAAACTATCATAAAAGTGTGGTATGTGGGTTTGGTATCTCTGAATCTGTGCTCAATGAGTTTGCTTCCATGTTAAACTATAAAACTAAGTCAGCACCACTGAAGTATCTTGGGTTGCCATTAGGTGCTAGCCCCCATGGGAAGTTGATTTGGAAACCTGTCATTGAGAAGATAAAGCTCAGGCTTGTTTGTTGGAAGAGGAGATTTCTTTCCTTTGCAGGTAGGTTAACTCTAATTAAAGTGGTGTTATCTAGCCTATCGGTGTACTACCTCTCATTGCTCAAGATGCCAGAAGGGATTGCAAAAGAAATTGAAAAATTACAAGCCTCATTCTTATGGGGTGGCTCTGAGCTAAAGAGGAAAGTTCATTTAGTGAAATGGGGAGAGGTAACAAAAAGTATCAAGCAAGGGGGGTTGGGTGTCAGAAGAATCAGAGACATGAATGTTTGTTTATTAATGAAGTGGTGGTGGAGGTTTGCCAATGAGGAAAAAGCTCTGTGGAAGAAGGTGATATGCTGCAAATATAAAGTTGAAGGTGGGAAATGGCTTATAGAATTTCAAGCAGGTGTCAGATTCTCCAAGATTTGGCGAGATATATTGGTAGCAGCAAATCAAAGGGTTAGCCTCCTGCAATTTTATGTCAATAATCTTCAGATTAGAGTGGGTAATGGCTGTAGAGTGTGCTTCTGGCATGACTGCTGGAATAGAGGAGTTAGCCTCGAAGAGTTATTCCTTAGACTTTTCAGGATGTCTAATGATAAGGCTGGGTCACTCAGGGACTATGCTGTCAAAAGAGGGTAACTCTGAAAATTGGGTGTTCAGCTTTAGGAGGGCTTTATTTCAATGGGAACATGAAGAGCTCATCACACTTAATCAAACTATCAGACCTGGCCCTGTTTTGAATCTGCAGGACAAGGACATACTAGTCTGGTTAGCAACCAAATTAGGTCAATCCTTTATCTGAACCCTATACAATCACACTGATTTAGAGTATGGTGAATTCAAGTGTTCTAGCAAATTGGTGTGGATCAAGTACCTCCCCCCTAAAGTTCAATTTTTTGGGTGGCTCGTATGGAAACATAAGGTAAAAACATCAGTGTTCTTGCACAGTATTGGAGTGCTAGATGCTAGTGCTGTCACTGTATGTATATTCTGCAAAGATGGCCAAGAAACAGTTGAGCGTGTGCTTATCTGGTGTCCTATGATCTGGAGAGTTTGGACAGGTCTCCTGCAATGGTGGGGAGCTCAATGGCTGGTGCCTGGAACAGTTGATGGGTTACTGCAGTGGTGGGCTGGGAATAATTGCATGAAAGCTGAAAGCAGAATTTGGAATGCCATTCCTTTGGTGGCCCTTTGGTCCATTTGGAAGCACCGGAATGATTGTCTCTTCCAAGATATCCAATCAAACATGGAGGAGCTATATGAAGTTATCATTGTTAGGCTTGCAATCTGGTTGAAATCCACATCCAGGGATTTTCATTTTTCAGTTACTGATTTTATGTATAACCTGGTGCAAATTAGATTCTGTTTGGGTAGGAGGTTGTAATGTTCTATTGTCATTGAGGTTTTGAGGGGTTTGAGTTGGAAACTCTCTAACTCTCTTATGCGGCTTTGGAAATGCACATGATTAGTTTTGTTATGGGTGCCGGCCTAGTTGGGATGCCTAGCTTGGACAACGATGCAATTACTTTCCAAGCTTTTGTACTTATATTGCTTTAATAAAATATATCTCTGTTTTGCTGCTCAAAAAAAAAAAAAAGATTCAAGTATCTATTAAAAATATGTTAAAATACGAAGTCATAGATTTCTGGATGAATGTTGAATTTATGTCGTCTTAAAGTATACGTTTGGAGATAATAAAGCAAGGAAATTGTAGTAATAATTCTAAAAATTAAAATATTATAATTTTATTAGTGCATATATATATATAGGATTGTGCCTAGAAGACTTATTCATTAGGGTTTTACAAACTATAATAATTTTTATTACTTTTATATTTTAGAAATTATATTTTAATATTCAACCTGATTAATCTTAGAATATACAATGTCTCTTCCTTTTCCTTCTTCCTATATGAACTATAAAAAAGGAATTAGTGGTCTAAAATTTTCTAAGATGATACTTTTGAGTTTTGAGAGACGTAGAGCTAATACACTACTTTTGTTGTTGTTGTTGTTTCATTTTAATTTTATTTATTTATTTATTTAATATTTTTTCTTTGGTTAATACCTGATTAGGATTTTATTTATGTGTGGTAAACCATATGTCAGAATATATTGGACAGAGACGGCCATTAGGGGGTTTGATATTTTTACTCCCTTGGATGTTTAGTCCTGAAAACAAAGACAACATGGATGGGGGAGATGATTTTGGTAAAGAGATGAAGAACATATTGGTGGAACTGGAACCGCTACTCATACATGCCAATATACCTGTGAGTAAAAGAATTTCTTTTAGTTCTTCTGTTTTGATTTTTTTTTTTTTGGTCATTAAATCTTTCACAGCCTGATTTCAATGGTTGTCTCCTTTAATTTTTTTTAATATATTTTTTTTGGAGGTACTTTTTGCGTCAATGACAAGAAAAGAAACAAATCCCTAATCACCCATCTATTTCACATCCCATGCATATAGCACTATGCTGCAACAGGTGTACAATGTGTTCTATTGTAGTGAATTTATTATGTCTCATGATTCTGAAGTTATCATTCTTTAAAGCTAAACATGCTTTTTGCAATTCCTTCCTTTCCTTTTTTTCCCTCTTGAGTAACTTCTGTCTACTAAACTACTATCTCCTATTTTGCTAATAGCTTTCCACGTCAATTACCTCTGATCATGTAAATAACCAGTATCATAGAATTGTAATTGTTGTTTCTATCGTTTTTCTTTTTCATATTTTGATTCATTGTTATTGTTTTTATTTTTAAAGTAATAAGGTCAGGCAATTTTTGCGGATTAACATGCCAAAATCTTGAGTTGGTTATCCTGTCAGTCCCAGAAATGGGAGGTGCAGTCTTTAAAGTGCCAGTGGGGACAACTTGTGTGTGTGTGTGTGTGCGCGCGCGTGCACGTGCATGTATATCTGTATGTATTAAAAAAAACCCAACCCTAATTATATGCAATTAAAATTTTTGCCACTGACTTAATATATACTAGTCATTCTTGGCATTGCATACTTTCCTTGGAAGTTTAGATATGTCGTTGATTTTTAATTTTGATTTCGAGAGCACATTTGTTTAAAGTTTCTGCTGAACTAGTCAGTTGCAAATTGCAGTGTTTGTTGTCTCTTTCTCATAAATCAAGGTGTTTTGCATCCCTTTTTTTTCCACTGAAAATCTTCTAAACTTTCTTAATGATGCTGTATTTGGTTACAGTATCCAGTGTATTTTGCTTTTGAGGATGACAATATCAATGCTGTATTAGCTGATGTCAAGATGAATGATGCTACTGGTCAGCCTGCTACTGCAACCGCTGGAGGGTTAGTTGATATACTCATAATTAGCATTGTTGGAGTTGTCTAAAATCTTCTAGATGCTTAACCTTCTTGGGGCATATTATGTTTACTTAAATTTCTAAAATTTGGTTCTCCTATCTCATATGTTATACAACAACACTACAAACCCAGACTTAAAAACCCAGAATTTATCCAGAAAAACTAATCAACGGTTCAAATTTATTTTACTTATGGACTCCACACTTCATCAATTTAGGCCTCATTTGGGAACAGGCTTTTTAGTAACTTTTTGGCTAAAATGTGATGTAAAAAAAACTATATGTTTGGGATGATTTTTTGGTTTTTTACGAAAAGTAGTGCTAAAAGTAGAGAGAAAAGGGAATCTTTGACTTTTTGGTATAGGTTGTTGGCTTTTTGATTTTTTTAGTGACTTTTTGGTTTTTAGGCTAAAAAGTGATGTTGCCAAATGAGGCCTTAATCTCCACCACACAAACATGTTTGGGGTAAATTATGGGTTAATAAGGGTGGCTTCATAGCATTTTTGTATGTTGTATAAATATTGAGCATGTTCAACAATCACACTTGGAATATAAATGTCCCAAAGACTGGTCCTTGATAAAACTGAATTATTTACTGGTTTTGAATTCCGTAGAGAAAGGAATTGGTTTCTTTTATTCCTTTTTCAGTTCCAATCTTCTGGTTGGTTTAGATGCTTCTGGTCCTAAAGTCTCCAGTTTGATTAAGGTTTTTTAATCAAGAGGACAGTACTAGAAGTTAAGGAACTTGTTTAATGTTTATAGCATACGTCTCCCTTGAGTGGAGGTTCCTTTTTTCTATTTGTATTCCTCCTTGCCTTTATTTGTTCTTTTCAAGAGACCAGATAGCAAAAATTTTATTTTTATAAGGGTGCCTCATCTTTAGAGTTCCCAATCACATGATCTTCTTACGTATGACTTTTTTGGAGAGGATTTATATAAAGAGAACACCTCTGTTGGTGATTTTTCTTTCAAAACCAAACCAAACCAAGCTAAGCCTTGTTTCCAATCAAGTAGAGTTGGCTACACAAATCTTTTTCGCCATTCAACTCTATCAACTTATTTTTCCAATAAAAGCCATCCACTTTTTAGACCGTGACTTGACAATTTTCCTTCAAATATGGATAAGTTGGGAATTTGTACTTGAAAATAATCTAGATTCTAACCCACTTTTGTGAGATTTCAAAGAGTGGAGGTGATTGAAAAGAGGAGAGCTTGTGAGAAGTGGGAATTTTAAATGCTGAAAATGGCAAATTTATAGGGTGTAGTAAGGTATATGTGTTGTGTGTCTGTCACCCTTTTAGGATATGTACTATGTACTATTTAGGCTATTGAAGACTTAACTTTCCCCTCTTTAAAATAGGATTGATGTCTTAAGGGAGCTGTATATTTGTTTTCTATATTTGTTTTCTTTTGAGAGATTCTTTTTCTTGTTATGGATTGGTCTCTGTCTGTTTTGGACGCAGCATGGTTCAACTATTTGAATGGGCAATTTTTATTTTTTAAGCTTTGATTGAGGAAGTTACCGTGTCTTCCCTTTGCTTGGGTTTGGTGCCCCTAGGTTTTCTCACATTTTTTAACAAGTCTCCTACAAATATGAGTTGTATTTCTGCAAAATGTTAACATCCTAGTGATATGCAGTTAAAGATTTTAAAATAGACTTATGCCAAATGTAGCATTAAGATACGTCCAAATCCAGATACTTGTTTATTGGCCCAAACAATTTGGTGTTTATTACTTCCTTTGCATCCCTTTTTTTGCAAGTCAATGCAAGTATAGTAGAGTCTTTTAAAATTTTGGGTGAAAGGGACTGCCGCTTTGAGGTATAGACCCTTCTAGGTCACATTTGTGCACACTTCTACACGTGTGTCCAATACTCGTGGATGTGTCCATTATTTAAACTATATTTCATTATTTTGTATATGAGAGGAATATCAGAGAGCCCGGGATGGAAGGGCTGTAATTTTGGCCCGTGGCCTGCGGGCGGCCCGTTGTGGGCCCGAGCCCAACCCAGCCCGATGCCCTGGGCTAGGGCCTGGGCCATCGTTTCGAAGCCCTTCCACTGAAAATCTTCTAAACTTTCTTAATGATGCTGTGGCCCGCCTCGCCCAGCCCACCCGATGCCCAGTTTTTTTTTTAATGGAAAATAATAAAATTTTGGTGAGAAAAATCAGTGTTTTTTAAGGCGAAAAGCGAATCGAGGCGACAAGGTCTCCTAACGCCTAAGCGCGAGGCGACGAGGCAAGGCGAGGGCTTCATTGAATCGAGGCGACCAGAAAGGATATTTTTTAAAAATAAATAGTATAGACAAAAATATAAATATTTTCAAGAACCATCATGCAGTTATCATTCCAAATACTATCCAACAAGCAATTCAATGTTTCAGCATAAAGAAATTAAAGAACATATTTTAACAACATTAAAGAACATAAAGAAATTAAAATAGTTGAAATTAATTGAATTAAAATAATTAATTGAATAACCAGGAAATTAAAATAACCAGGAAATTAATTGAATTAAAATAAACAAATTAATTGAATTAATTGAATTAAACAAATTAATTGAATTAAAATAATTAATTGAATAACCAGGAAATTAATTGAATTAATTGAAATTTTAACACAGAAGAAAAAAAATAATCGAATTAATTGAAAAAAAATTAAAGATAAAATAATTGAATTAATTTTAAAAATTAATTTTTGCGAATTAAAAATTAATTTTAAAAAATAATTGAATTAATTTTAGCACAGGGTTCGACTGTGTTCTTCAAGTCGAAGAAAAAAATGAACAAAGAAGAACAAGTGAAGTCGAAGGGAAGAACAAGGGGAAGAAAGGCCGGGGGGGTTCCGACAGTGAACAAAGGAGAAAGGAAGAAGAAGAAGAAACGAAGAAGAAGGAACTCACCTCGGAACGACGTCCGAAGAAGGAAGAAGAAGACCCAGATGATTTGACTTCGGAAGAAAAAGACCCAGAAGACCCAGATGTCGACGAACGAAGTCGATTTAGGGTTTGGACTTCTTATTTAGTAATTAACTTTGTCGATGAACGGCCCAGATGATTCGAATGAAGTCGATGAAGGGCCCAGATGGTTCGAACTAAAATCAAGCAAAAATATGAAGCGTTGCTTCGTTTTGCCTCCCGCTTCATTGCCTAAGCCTTGCTTCAGTCGCTTCTCCATCGCCTCACCATTTCGCCTCGCCTCAGTGTACGTGAAGCGCTAAAGCCTCGCCTCGCCTTGCTTAGCGCTTAGGCTCGCCTCTGATAACACTGGGAAAAATTAAAAAAAAGTAAAAAAATTGTTTAGGCCCACCCAAGCCTGCCCAAAGCCCGAGCCCAGGCCCAAGTCCATGGGTCCGGCCCGAGACCTGGACCATTGGCCCGCCCAAAACCCGAATACCTAGGTGTGGGCCTAGTTTTCTGGCCCGTGGCCCGGCTGGTTTTTTTGGCGGGAGCCCGCAAGACCTGAATGGGCCGGGCCGGGCTGGGCCAAAATTACACCCTTAGATGGAACCATAAATTATTGCCAGCTCCATTTCCAACGAACCATTTTGAGCCCTTAAATGTTGGTGGGGTTATTTTGTTGACACATCTCTAAACACTCCACTCTCCATCATGGTGGTGTAGCCCAACATTTCCAACATTCTTTTCCTTTTCAGGAATTTTGATTGTACAATGGCAACCACGAGCCAAGCTTGCAATTGGCAAATTTGGCACTTTTAACATACTGTGAAGTACATGATATGTAAGAGAGTTCTAGTCTTATAAGTAATATGATAATCAGAATGAACTTGATGAGCTTCAACTTCCACATTATGAAATTCTTAGTATAGAATTGCAAAGTATTAAATAGAGTAACATGTATGGTAAAGTCTGACAAACTAAGGAGTTGATTTACTTTGTTTTGCTTTTGCTAATGTTGTATTAATAGCTATTGCTTTTCTATAAATTGGTGGTTCTGCTCTTACAGTTGTTGCTAACTGGATTATTTGTTGTAATTGTTTTTGTTTTCCTGCTGGTTTGATTTGATTTGCAATTAAATCAGTTTATTTTTTGACAAATAATTAGAAGTATATATATTTTTGTTCTCATTGTAGTCTTCTCCATATCAACATGCTTGTGGTTTTCTGGCTAGTTATTTATTTATTATTTTTTTTGAGATGTTCATGCAGAATTGTCATTATTCTCGATGATCTCACTGATCACATTTTTGCTTTTAAAATGTTGCAGATACAAGCTTGTTGTCTCAGCACCTGAACCTAGGAAACTTGCATCCCCCACAATTACAAATATTCAGGTCCAGATTCAACTCCCCCCTCCCCCTCCTCCTCCCCCAAACACAGTCGAACATACATTCAGAATGATTAAATTCATATCAAATAAGTCTATTGTAGCATGTGGAAGTCTTTGTGATTGATATTTTTAGAAACTAAAAAAAGAACAAAAAAACTCAAATTGCAATTGGCTTTAAATATCTATCTTTTTTGCGCGTCACTATGGTGATTGCGTTGTTGATTTATTCATTTATTTATTTCATCATTTTATTTAAGTTGTTGCACCTCTTTGAAGTAACACATCCTTTATTTTGACTTTGATACTTGAGTTCTTTGTTTTTAGTTGATGAGCTTTCACCACTCTTTATAGCATGCACTACTTAGTCTTTATTCGTAGCTTCTTTTTTACTCTTGTAATTGGGAGTGTTGATTTTGTAAAATTAGTTGTATTCTTAGTTTCACTTGGGGCATAGGTGGCATGGAGATTACTGCTTATGCTTTTAAGCTTGAAATTGTTTGTAAGTTTAACTATTTTTGTTGTTCTGATAGGGATGGTTACCAGGATTGAAAGCAGATGGAGATTCAAATCAACTCCCCACCATCGCCATAGTGGCATCATATGACACTTTTGGGGCAGCACCGGTATCTAAGTTAATAATTTCTTACCCAAAATTTTTTATGATTTTTAAGAAGTCTGATTTTTTCTTTTCATTTAAATATTTTTAGGCTTTATCAGTGGGAAGTGATAGCACTGGAAGTGGCGTTGTAGTGCTTCTCGAAATAGCTAGGTTATTCTCACTTCTATATTCAAATCCTAAGACAAGAGGAAGGTACAATTTACTTTTTGGGCTAACATCTGGTGGACCTTACAACTATAATGGAACACATAAGGTGCTTAGCTTCTTTGTTGGATTAGAATTCTCACTACTTTCTTTTCTTTTGATTTTTAATGTCTTTTCACATCCACTCAATTTTGTACTATGTGCAGTGGCTTCGAAGTTTTGATCAACGTTTACGTGAGAGTATTGATTATGCTATCTGCTTGAATAGTATTGGGTCATGGGATAATGAATTGTGGATTCATGTGTCTAAGCCTCCAGAAAATGCATATATAAAACAAATATTTGAAGTAAGCAAATAGCATTCTCCTATAAAGAAAATGGATTTTCTTGAATTCCATGAAGTTGCACTGTGGCACTTTCTATTTTAACAGAAGGAATTTTGTGCAGGGTTTCTCGAACGTAGCAGAAGATTTAGGGCTTAAAGTTGGTCTCAAGCACAAGAAAATAAATATTTCTAATCCTCGAGTAAGTAGATATACTTGAAATTATAAGTAGTGTAAATCAGCATATGACATAAATCTAATGTTTTCCAAATAGTGGAGTGAGTAATAAATAAAGAAAAAATAGCGAATATCAACCTTATTGCTCATGTTCAGGAACACCTATATTGAATTATGAGATAAATACGTTTTATTCTATATTCATTTATAGTCTCTGTGCCAGTGCTGTTATCAGCTCTAGTTAAACCAGGACCAACAGTTTGTGATATAACTCAACTGAGAAGATGATTTTTGTATAAATATTAGACTCAATACTTTTTATGTTATGTTTACTGCATTGGGATCTCTGTTCAGTATTACTCATTGAGTTCTTCTGATAACTTTAGCCTTTTCCATTTTTTCTATTAAAAACGTGTTCTCTTTGCATGTTTTAATATGACTCTTATGTTTAATGGGTGTATTTGGTTTACAATGCTACACACAGAATTCTTTGATATGCTATATTTTGCTATTATTAAAGTCTGCAGAAGGTTTTTAGAAATCGTTATCTCCACTAAATGTTTGTGCTTCAATGGAATTTGTTTATGTTCTCTGATAATCAGTTCTGCTAAGTTGGCAGATTTTAGGGGCAGACTGCTTTTGGATGTTTGTCCTTTTCCTCCATTATTATTACCTGTACTACGGTAGAAAGACGGCGCATCTTCTTGGTATCATCATGTTTTACTTCCTAAAATGCTCACAACTTCTTCCATCTGTTTCTTCTTATGTTTTTATTAGTGATGTTTAGATTTGGGAGAACTCGTATCTAGTCTTTTTCAAATATAAATTGCATCATCCTTAACCATTCTCCCTGTGGATGACGATAGCCAGATCAACATCTGCTTTTACAGTAAATTTGAAATTATCAAACATCTGCAATCATAAATAATTTGAACCTTTTAAATTAGAAAAATAGTTACACAAGGCAAGCAGCATGGCATAGTGTGTGCCACTATTCTAGTTGTTTCTGTGTTTTTATTATTTAGGCAAACTTTTTTGTTTTATTATCTATTTTTGTTTGGAAAGATTTTTTAGATGAAACAGCTGTATGATCTCATCAACAGCTCTGCTTATTATTGTGAGTAACTTGTGATAAAGTCAGTTCACATGCCTGTTGTTTTTTGTGCCCTTGTTCTTTCAGAGTAAGATACGATTTTGTTGCATGATGAGAATATTATTAATGTGAGGATGTAAAATCCAGCTTCATATGTGAAGTTCAAAAAACTAGGCCAGATGGTTCTTGCTCTTTGTTCTGAACAAAATTCCACCCTGTAGAAAAAAAAATGCATTGGAATACATACAAGAGACAATAAGAGTCTTGATGTACAACAGAAAGAGTTGTCATCAGAGTTTTTAAGCTGTAACAAGTCATTTTATTTGATTATAAATCTTGAGGAGAAAAGGAATGCTTAACAAATCACTTTTTATTTGATTTTCTTTTTCTGAGCCCAATCAATGACCACTCACTGGACTTCTTTACATCTTAATATATTTACTTTGCCTTAGAAGATAGATTCTTTCCCTGTTGAATATCGTTAGAATTTTTTATTTTTTATTTGAAAATAGAACATGAGCATGGCTAGAACATGATAAGAATTCTCTCTCTCTCTGTCTCTCTCTCTCCCCTTTTTTCTTCTGTTCTTTCTTCCACGCAAACAACTTGAGAACGTGAAATATTTGTTGCATGCTTTGTTTTTTTCCAGTTCTAGTTTATATAGTCCGTTATAACTTGTTTTGCTCTGCAAATTCAAATGAACATATATGCATTGCAACCATTCTTATCAACATTAGTCTTGAACAATAATGATGCCTCTTTATTACGATTCCTAATCTGCACTTCCAGCCTATTATGAGTTGAACTTGTTTGGGATAAACAAATTTGTCATGTAGTTTGATGTTAGTGAAATGTTTTGCATTTTGCTTTATGCTTGTACCTAACAACCATGATTTCTTTAGTATGTTGTGTATCAAACTTCAGATGAGATGCTGAAGCCGTTAATCTGCTGTAGGTAGCCTGGGAGCATGAACAGTTCTCAAGGCTGAGAGTTACTGCTGTGACCCTTTCTGGACTGTCTGTGGCACCTGAATTGCTTGAAAGCACTGGAGGTCTGTTTGATAACAGGTCAAGATTTGGAACTAAACGTGTCCTCTTCCAGAACTCCTTTTACACGATAGTTTCTCGTTTGAGTATTTTTTTATTTTTATTTTTTAAATTTCTCTACAGGCATTTGTTGAATGAAGCTGCAATTATGAGAAGTGTGAAGTTAGTTGCAGAGAGTTTAGCGGTAAGGTTTTATATTACATTTTTGAGGTAGAACTTTGTCATGGTGTTTTTGTATTATTTCTTTTTGACACAAATGCACGTTATATGCATACTTGTGTGTATATATATATATATACTAGTTTAAAAAGGATTACAGTACATTTAAGTTTTGTAATTTGATAATTTGAAAAAAATAAAAATATTGTTCTATGAAATTGAATAGAATAAATCATTAGAGATATGATAGAATTATATAAATTGTATTATAAATAATAGCAATTAGAAAAAATATAATAAGTCCTATCAATTTAACATAATTATACTCTTTTCTTTTTCAGTAAGACTAAAAATGACCGAAATTATTGTAGAAGGTGTGAAGACACAAAGATAAACAAAATAAAATATACATTTGAGTATAAAAGAGGTAAAAAAATTTATTTTACATCTATATGACTAATGAATTACTAATAAAAATTGAGCTAAGTGTTATGTAAATTAAAATTTTAAAGGAGTCCAATATAATTATATCAAATTTGTATAAGTTATTATATTTTTAAAAAGTGTTTGTTCATGACCACTTGTGCTATTGTCTAAATGCATATCAACTTAAAATAGTCACTAAACTAATTATTCAATAATTTTTTATTTTATATAAATATCTTTTGGGTTAGTTCATTTTGTTATTCAATACTTATTCAATGTGGTGAGTTTCATCAGTAGTATTCAGTTCACTGAAATGAAAGTGGAATGGAATGATCAATTAAAATGTTAATTCTCACATATGATGAAAAATGTATTAAAAATGGATTCTTATTCACTATTGTAAGGAAATGGTCATTCTATCTGAAGATTATTGAATGGTCATTCAACTTCTGTTAATTACGACTTATTGAAACTTACATGTCACCCTTTTAAATTTTTAATCGCATGACAAATGACCAATCTCATTAATTAACCAATAAGTCAGTTAATAGTTTTAATGATATCATAAATATATTTTAATTAACAGTTCTGGTGATTTTGTTGTTGTATAGGAGAGTAATTAGGAGTTTTATTTTTCCTGTTAAGTTTGATAATTTGTTACACACCCAATGATATAAAATTCAACTCCCTCATCACATCGTTGGAAAATGTTTGAGACCTCCAAAAGCTCACACAATTCGATATACAATTATGTGGGTATGATATGTGTCATTTTTTGATTTGTTATACATCCAATGATGTAGACTCCAATTCTATTACCATATCATTTTGGGTGAATTTATGAGTCTTTAACATTTTTTTCGAATTTATAAAAAAAAAAAAATTATGGTGTGTAACTTTTCTCAACAGATAAATATGAAACAAATACTAAGATAATTCCTCCATCTAAAAAAAAAAACTACAAAGACAATTCACTGAACTAATAAAAAAGCAGAAGAAAATACATATATATATACAAATGATCAATTTTATTAATTACCTAACCCCCCCCCCCCTTCCCAAAAAAAAAAGAAAAAAGAGTAAATCATTAAGTAAACTAAATATTTTTAATGATATGAAAAATATTTTTCAATTAACCATTTTGTTAATAGATAAAGCATTAAGTCAAGTAACAGTTTTTAATGATATGAGAAATATTTTTCAATAAATAATTTTGACAATTTATTATTGCATAGGAGAATTGTTATTTTTTTCTCCTGGTTATTGTGTTAAATTAAAATTAATAACAAACGATAATTGTAAATTCATATTTTAAACAAACCTTATGGGTGTATTTGAAATTTGTTAAAAAATAAAAGATTTATATTTCATAATTGACCAAGGATATTTGCGTAATTACAAAAAAACCTTCACTCAATATAGAGGCCACCATTAGTAAATTATTCAAAATAAAAGGGCAAAATAAGAAAAAAAAAGACCATCCATAAGCAGGATAGAGCTTCTTATATATATATAGATATATGTATGGGTATCTCTGTAAAAATATGCATCTTGACACTTTTCTCTTTGGCTTTGAGTAGTATTTTTTTCCTTTTGGATGCGGTAGTAACTGAATCTATGATAATTGCATTTCTTTTTCCTTTGTTTTTATTAGTTAGTTTTTTTTTTTAATTTTTTTAATTTTTTATATATATATACTTTGGATTAGAATCTATGATTGGTGCATGCATTAGCTTGGTAGAATAGAACATGAAATAGTTAGTGATTTAAGAAATTGGGGTCTTAGACCCCTATGCAGTATTCACTGTTCCTAAATTCTTTTGATCCTTTGCATTCATTTACTAAGAAATCATAAGGAAAAATTCTAATGCCTATCCTTTTGGCATCCCATACCTAACTGTAAATGATTAGGAAAAAAATAACTGGAAGATATTTCTGCGGAATTCTTTGAGATAATGCCAATGTAGTTTTGGAGTCTTTGGACTTTTGTTACAATTCACTGCACAATTGTCTTCGCTACTGCTACACATACAATAGTACTCCATACAGTCCCTTTATTATGTAGGACTCGTACAAGCTTCTGACAGATTGATATTACTTGAGTTTTAACTTTCTAGAAGTGGATCCATAATAAATCAATAAAATATATGCTATCTTGTTCAGATTAGTATTTTGCACAAAAGAATTAAATTTATCATTATAAATGTCATGTTTGTGTATGTATGTATCTAATTTAACTTTGTAGTGTCATTATTGAAGTTTTTCTTCTCTTCTTTCTCTTTTACTTTTCACGTATGTAATTTTGCATCCAGATAATGGCGGTCATCAATCTTTAACGATTTTCGTCTCTCTAATGTAACTTTCCCTTTCTCATGTACAGAGGCATATTTATGGCCACCAGGGAAAGAACATTAATATATTTGCGGACAATAGTACTTTGACTGTGAATCCTTCTTACGTAGCATCCTGGTTGGATCTTTTGTCGCGTACTCCTCGAGTGGCACCATTTCTCACAAAGAACGACCCATTAATCATGGCATTGAAAAAGGTGCTATTGTTTTCTATACTTATAATATCCTGTTTATTTGATGGAATTTCCTTTGTTTCTACAAATACTTGGTTCATGGGAAAGGTACAATTGTTTGGAGTGTTTTTGGTTGAAAATTAGAGTGGTTAACACCTTTATGTAACATGGTTTTTTTTTAATTTATATTTGTTACATGTTTTCCAATTTAAGAGAGTCACCATATTGTTGTTGGAAGGTCATTAACATAGATGGCAATTCAACATTAAATTGTCATCATTTTCCATATCTTTTCTTTGAAAATTATATGTTGGTGGGTCCATTTTGTTTCATATCCTTGCCTGTGTCTATGCCTGTGATTCTCACTTCTAGATGTGCTTGTTTCAATGTTTGAATTGAACTTTAGATTTGAGTTACAATTCCAAAAATAAATTAATAAACCCAACACACTTCTATGATGACAAATTCCCTTCTTTCTGATATTTTCAGTGTTTTATTGTTTGATCAATCCATTGGCAGGAATTAGGAGATCATACAGTTGATGTGAATTTACATCACGAGGTGCTTGATGGGATGTTCACGCTCTACGATTCTACAAGCGCCAGGCTTAGTATTTATCAGGTGCCAATGTTACTAAATGCGCACATACAGTGTGTGTGTGTGTGTCTGTCAGATACAAAGAATTTACTATATAACTACTTGGCAAATGTTGTTTATTACAGGTTGCAAGCGTTACGTTTGACCTGCTTTTGCTACTGGTGTTGGGATCATACCTTATAGTCCTCTTCAGTTTTCTTGTAATCACAACAAGGGTATAACTTCTTACCTTACTAGCACAACTCTTTTGTTTCTAGATTATTGCCTTGTTTGGATCATGGATTTATCTAGGGAAGGAAAAATGTTATATTTTTTTTAAGCTTCATTCACTTTAGCCTAAGGAAATTTCTAGAGGTGCAACTTGGGCGGGCTCAACCCGAGCAATCCGAACCCAGCTTGAATTTTTTTAGGGTTTGGACAAGATATTTTCAAATTCAGTACGGGCTTGGGCAAAAATTCAGAAGCCCGAATTAAATTTGGGCAGGATAGAGCTTCTTATATATATATAAATATATGTATGGGTATCTCTAACTAAAATATTTTTTAGTCGCTAAAAATATTTTATAAATCCCTCCAAAATTTGAAATGTCTCCCTCCAAATATTTTAGTTCTTTTATTCGGGCAAGTCGGGGTAATTCAGGTTTAACTCGAGTCGGGCTTAGGCAAGCAATCTCGGGTTACAATTCGAATTTGGGCGAGCCTGGGCAGATCTCAGCACAACTTGGGTTGGGCATGGACAACTTCCCAACCCAACCCGCCCGAGTTGAAATTTCCATGTTTAACGGTTTGTCGTTTGTTGAATTACTAGCCTTGTATTATAAACATATATGAAATGAAACTAAGCATGAAAGATTTTGCTCAACAGGGTCTTGATGATTTGATCAGTCTATTCCGTCGTCCTCCCTCTCGTAAAGTAAAAGCAATTTGACAATTTAAGGATTATACAAATGGCAAGATGGTAGTTCAGAAAATTGCAGGGGCCAAGTCTTGTTCTCATACTGTGGGTCATCGAATGTAAGCTTATATTTGGATCTCACGCACACCTTTAGATGAGTTCATTGATGGTTTCTTATCTTGTGTAGGTTTAGAATTTTGTTCTCAGGAGGCGTATTGTTTTACGCTGTGTTTGGTTAGAGGATTTGAGGAGGGATTTGGAAAGGAAAAGGGAAAAGTTAGGTGAAATGTGAATAAAATATACCTATATTTCACCTAGTTTCACACACCTTTTCCCTTTTCTTTTTCAAATCTCTCCCTAAATCTCCCAACCAAACACAACATTAGTGTTTGACCTGAGGATGATGTTCCGTTATTTTTATTTTGCTAGAGTGATCACAATTGCTGCCCAGAAAATTTTGTTACATCATTAAGCAATGTAATCTTGTTGCCGGTTACTATTTAGGTAGCACGTTAATGGTTGTTACGTTGATGTTTGTTTTCTTGTGTGTTGCGCATGTATGTAAGCATTCTTACATGTGCATCTTTGTGTGTTTTGGACTTTGAGAGGGATCTCTGTTGGCCTGTACTTTTTGGTAGATTAGTGGCTAACTAATGGAAAAAGTTTTGGCAGAGTTCTTTTATTATTATTATTATTATTATTTTTTATGATGGCCATATGCTCTAGCTAAGTTAGAGCATCTCCAATGGTATTTGTTAAAATAACATTGCCATTTGTATAATTTGATAATGAATAGTATTATTTTATCAAATTATAACAATGATGCTCAAATGGTCCCATGTTATTTTGGTAAATCTAAACTAATTTTTGCTTTAAGTTTGTAGGTGTTGTTTGGATATAGATTTTTTTTTTTGTGTGTTTATTTTTTGTCTTTTGTGATCTTTTTTTCAATTGTTTGTAAAAAAATATATATATTTATATTATATTCGACTAGACAAAAATAAAAAAAAATCTAAAAATTTTCAAAAAAAATTTAAATATAATTCATCTCGCCGAAAAAAGTATAACTTATTTGTTTTTATTATTGTAACTACATTAAAAAATAAACAATTACCAACTATCCAATAACAATCATTCATTACTCAGCAAAAAAAGAATTTTTTTTTTTATTAACTACATTAAAAATACTCAAAATTACATTGAAAAATAAATGACATTGTAAAATTAAAAAATACATTCTCTCTTCATTATTCATCAGGAGGCAGGAAAAAATAGTAATTTGAGTTGTTGACATGTGTGGATCACTTGGCAAAAATCTCATTTTTGCACATTATATAATACGCTTTCGTCTGAGGATTCAAATGGGAAATGTTCGTAATCATTATCAAATATTTTCCCTTTTTGAACTAAAGTTCTCTCATCTCTTGCAAATATTCGTCCTTTTTGATCTCTAGTTCTTTCATCTCCTTTAATGTTTGAATTCTTTTTTCTTATCTTTCAACTTTTTTCAATTCTTATTCACCCAAAAAAAAAAACTTTTTTCAATTCCTTCTCAACAAGGTGTTAGTTAAATGCTTCCAACAAATTGTTATATTTGTGGACTTCTACCTGAATGGTAAATCTAAACTAATTTTTGCTTTAAGTTTGTAGGTGTTGTTTGGATATAGATTTTTTTTGTGTGTGTTTATTTTTTGTCTTTTGTGATCTTTTTTTCAATTGTTTGTAAAAAAAAATATATATTTATATTATATTCGACTAGACAAAAATAAAAAAAAAATCTAAAAATTTTCAAAAAAAATTTAAATATAATTCATCTCGCCGAAAAAAGTATAACTTATTTGTTTTTATTATTGTAACTACATTAAAAAATAAACAATTACCAACTATCCAATAACAATCATTCATTACTCAGCAAAAAAAGAATTTTTTTTTTTATTAACTACATTAAAAATACTCAAAATTACATTGAAAAATAAATGATATTGTAAAATTAAAAAATACATTCTCTCTTCATTATTCATCAGGAGGCAGGAAAAAATAGTAATTTGGGTTGTTGACATGTGTGGATCACTTGGCAAAAATTTCATTTTTGCACATTATATAATACGCTTTCGTCTGAGGATCCAAATGGGAAATGTTCGTAATCATTATCAAATATTTTTCCTTTTTGAACTAAAGTTCTCTATCTCTTGCAAATATTTGTCCTTTTTGATCTCCAGTTCTTTCATCTCCTTCAATGTTTGAATTCTTTTTTCTTATCTTTCAACTTTTTTCAATTCTTATTCACCAAAAAAAAAAAACTTTTTTCAATTCCTTCTCAACATGGTGTTAGTTAAATGTTTCCAACAAATTGTTATATTTGTGGACTTCTACTTGAACAGTTTCACTTTTTCAAAGCAATTCTTTTACAAATTTTTTACCCATAGGCCTTGTACCCCTTGCAAAGATACAACCCTCATTGATTGGATTATTACCAACACTTGAACTGTTGTCGTCTTCAAGAGAAATATAATTATCTATAGGGGATTCAGGAGCTAAATTAGGAAAAAACGGTGTATGTATCCTTGACTTTACTGTGTTTGTAAGAGTTACATCTTACCACCTGATATTGTTTTGCAAGATTGGCCAACAATATTCAAAAGCAAAATGTTTGTTTTCATATAAATGGTGTAAAAGTTTTGCTTAAAGCATCTGTATCAATAAAATATTAAATTAAGTAATTAATTAATTTGTATATGAGACAAAAAAAGAAAAAAGAAAAAAAAAACTAACATAATAAATGAAGATGGAATCTTACTATATCAATTTAAGACATCCCACTTAGGTGTAGATTTTCGACTTGCACTAAACACCCATGAAATTTATTAGAATATTTCATGATTATACCCCATCGAGATTGAATATACTTGTGTTATTAACTAATCTGTAACGTCCTAACCCTTCACATGTCATCGATATTGTCCGTTTTGGGCCATACCGCATGGATTTGTTCTTCCTAATGGATCACCCATCCCAGAACTACTCCAGCCTAAGCACGCTTAACTGCGGAGTTCTGTCTGGGATAGGTGACCCACTGGAAAGAACAAATCCGTGCGAGCGTGGCCGAAAGCGGACAATATCAATAACGCGTGAAGGGTTGGGGCGTTACAAATGGTATTAGAGCCGACTCTCCGAAGTACCGAGTGTGGGCCTCTAGCGTCTCTCGGTGTATGTGGGCAGACTTGTGAGCTGGCAGGCTACTGCATAGAGACGTGCAGCCCTAAGGGGGTTGGATTGTAAGGTTCCAATGTCCCACATCGGGAATGAAAGGGGAGTTCCTAGGCTATAAAAGTAAAAACTTGGACCCTTATATAGTATCGAGGCCTTTTCCCGAGTGGTGAAATCTCCAATAGAACTCCACAGTTAAGCGTGTTTAAGTTGGAGTAGTTCTGGGATGGGTGACCCACTGGGAAGAACAAATTCGTGCAGGCGTGGCCCAAAGCGAACAATATCGATGACATGTGAAGGGTTGGGGCATTACATAATCATTCTGAAGTGAGCAATAATTTTCATAAATTCTTCCCCAATAGTGAGCACAAGATTGTGAATTGCCAACAATTGGATCTTCAGAAATGTGACGCCAAGCTTTACAAAGTGTCACATCTTCATTAATGGTGAATGATTTTTCTCTCTTTGTTTTTGATGAACCTTCCATAGTGATTATGTGAAAAAACTATAAATAAAAATGTAATTTGGGAGGTTTGTTGTGAAATGAAATTCAGAAAAAAGATTTGTATTTATAAAATTATAAAATATAACAGTTTTTTTTTCTTCTAAATATAGCCGTTGAGAATTTTGAAAATTTTGACTATTTATGAAATATGACCCTTTTTTCCCATTTCACTTGTGTTTTCATCTCAAACCAGATCATCTCTCTAGAATGATCCAACGGTTGATTTTATAACAAGATCTCAGCTGTTGATTGCATAACAATCCAACGGCTGAGATCATCCCTCTAGAAAAATCCTATATCAAGCCCTTTCTCTTCCTCTATCCTCAAACCGATCGGTGCTGAGATGGTGTCTCTTCTCTCTCTTCCTCTTTGTGTGTCTTTGATCTCAAGAGGATCTCTCTCTTTCTATTCTCAAACCAGTCAGTTGAGATGGTGTCTTCTCTTTTCTCTGTCTATGTCTTTGATCTCAAGAGCATCTCTTTCTCTCTTTTTCTGTTCTCAAACCAATCGGTTGAGATGGTGTCTTCTCTCTGTCTCTCCGTGTGTCCTCAAATCGAGCACTAATCACCGATCTTCAATCTCCAAAACCAGTCCTATCTCTCTCTCTTTCTCTCTCACTCTCTATGTGATTTTCATCACTACCACTAGTGCCGATCTCCGAAACTTGTGATGACCGGTTCCAAAGCCGTCTCATTTCTTTTTGAGTTATGCTGGGTAAGTTGTTGTTGAAAATTCTTTTTCTAAATATTTTCAGTTGCATTGTTTCATTTCCGAGTTTCTTACTTGTCCCGGAGGGTGTGAGGTCGAGTTCGGGATGTCTGGAGTGAAGTTAAAGTTTTTCCGGGATGGAAGGCCAGAGCAGCACGTGCAGGTCCTTGGGCCGCACGTGTGGGAGAGGGGCCGCACGTGCGGGAGATCAGGCTGCACGTGCGGGAAGCAGAGGAGAGGGCTGTGTGCACACTGTATAAAACACAGGTGCAGAAGTGGAGCTATGGGAGAGACCGCACGTGCGGAGGTGAAAGTCGCACATGCCCTGCATGTGCGGGAGGGAAGGCCACTCTGCAAGTGCGGGAGAAGGCGCCGCAAGTGTGGCCAGACGTGTGTTCAGCCTCGTTTTTCGTACTTTCCAACTATATTTTGCTCTTTTTGTCCCATTTTCATCCATATCTGAATGTACCTCTCTCTCTCTACAATATTTCTTTCTTTTTCTCTCATCTCTCTCTACCCAAACCCTCAAAGCTTTGTATTTTCTTTTGATCTCAAGAATCCATTGAGATTTTGGTGCTAGTCCTTTATACCAAAATGATGGGCATATCGAGGGCTTCGTTTTGACCGGTGGATATCGAATTCTAGCGGAGTTGATTTTTGGGCTTTTCTCTTCTTCTCTCTTGAGGTAGGGATTCCTTTGATCTTTTTCAATATCTCTTTTATAGATAGACATAAGGTAGGGTTTAAGGTTTGATGTTGAGGTTAAGATTTGTGAAATTAATTGTTGTTGGGTTGATTTGGGAAGTGGTTTAATTTGTTCATGTTTAGAAAGTGATGAAGCCTTAAATTTCTCTTTAAATAATGCCCAAAATAGCAAAAAGGGGGTTTGAAATTGTGAAACTAATCATATTATGAGCTAAAGGGATTTTAACAAAGAATTATTGATTGAGTTGAGATTAAATTGGTCTTATGATGTTAGCATTTATCTTGTGTTGGGCTGCCCATATTATAGTATAACAAATTGGTAACTGTAAATTTCAAAAAGGTGTTAAATCATGAGATTAAAATGTTGAATTTTATTTTTATTTGAGTGGGAATTGAGTGGGTCATGATTTAGTTATCCATGGATTGGGAGTTTGGTTAATTGAAGGAAAATAGTCTCATTCTATATATACATATATCTATATATGCAGTCGGTGCATTGTAAATTGGAAATTTTAGAAATTGACATTGGAATGTAGAGACAATTATAACTCTTTTGTAAATTGAGAAAGAGCCTTAGTAAAAGTTGAAAACCTTGGAGTATCATTGTTGTTATTGGGCCTAATGCCTCATAAGAATTGGATGATTGTATTTTGTGCATTTAATACATATTGCTTAGAGGTTTTGTCCTTGGTCATCAGTGGAGAATGACATTGTGAATGTTGAAATGGTTATGTGTCTGTAGTACACTTGAGTTGTCTGTGAATGTTGTATAATGTGATGGTTGGAAAATGTGTAATGCGTTGAGAATGAGAGGTACCATTACTTTCCAACTAGCCTGGAAAATTGGTTGCGTTGAGAATGAGAGGTGCCATTACTTTTTAGCTAGCGCCTAGAGAATTGACAGAGGTACCATTTCCTTCCAGCCGATGTCTGGTAAATTGACATTTCATTGTGGAAAGATGTATCATTGGCTTACCATTGGCTTACCATGCTTGAGGCAGGTAGAGCGGAATTTATTTATTATTAATGCTTCAGTATATTTGAGTATGTTATGTGTTATGATGGTTGTGGTTTTTTTTTTTTTGAAAGGCTGAATTGCCAATTGTAGAAGTAGATAGTTGTTGGGTGCTTGTGTGTTTCCTTTTGTACTAAAGGTATACTTGCATAGGCATGAATGTGTGAGAAATAGACGTGAGTAATGTGTTGGGATTGTAAGTAATGTGAAAGATATTTGATACTCGTAAACATATTTTTGAAAAGTCAAATCGAGTGCAAGTCTAAAAAGGGTGAGAAAGTATAAAAGGTTTTTGGTAAAAGTCTTGCTTCAAGAATTTGTTATTTGTCATATAAAATTTGGTAAATGGTGCTAAAATGAAGGAAATGCGAGTTGTCTATATTAACAAAAGAAATGAATGTTTTTGAGAAAGGTATATATGTATGTATACTTTGGTTATAAATTGTCACATTACTTATACGGTATGAGACTAAACATTCATAATCATAGCTATCTATAGGTTGTTATTGTTGAGGATCATGTTGAGATCCCTATTGGACTATATGTTCATCTCACGTTACTAATCTTTTTCAGGTGAACATGGAGAAGTGTTTCAAGGTCATGGATCTTCCTTACCTGTTGGCTACAGGGCCTTTATTTGTGGACGGAATGCCTTTTTGTAAAAGGGTCAAACCCTTTCTTTTACTTTTAAATATGTAAGCCTTCGGGCAATTTATTTGGATATACTCCTGTTGCATTCATTTATATTCGAATAAGAGAATTATTATTTATGTGGGGACATAATTTTTGAATGACAACACGTGACCGTGGTGACACCGAAGTGTCAGCCGAGGTGTCACGTGTCCTGGTCATGATGCCGAGATGATCTCGGTTAGGCCGAGGTTATCTGCGAGAATACCGAAATTCGAGATAAGCGGATAAGGGACAAGAGTCCTAGAATGGAAGAAGACTTCAATTTGGGTAAAGATGAGACTCTTAGAGAGTTTATCCTAATTCTACTGGGAGTCCAAGATTAGCAGTAATCCTAAGTCCATTAGAGCTAGGCTCCTATTGGGACTAGGATTGAGTTGGTTATAAACGGGAGGCACCCCCATGGGTCTAAGGTATGCTTTTGATATTCTGTCTAGTGAGTTAAGCACTATTGGTTATCTTTGAGAGATATTGAGTACTGACTTGATCGTCGGAGTACCCCCGGGTGGACGAGCCACCGCCGAAAACTCTTCTTTCTGTTGCAGGTCGTTCGGGCTTAACCTATTTTGCCAGTGCTCTCCAGTTGGGTACCTGTTTGGCAGTGTGGTCAGAAAACCACCCACACAATTTATGTATTCCTTGTAAATATAACGAGCTTTTGTATGCTATCTCTGAAATTGAATTTATAATAATGGTTTGGTAATGGGATCCGAGTAATAAAAAGTGGGGCGTGACAAAACAAGTCTTCTCCTTCTCTCTCTGTTTCAATGGAACTCCAACGTTTGACTGAACACCACTGTTTGGACTTCAATGAAGCTTGATTGGTCTGGGAACGAGCTCTACAAGTAGGGGTGTGCATAATACCCCCGAAACCGCCAAAACCGCACCGAACCGCACCGCCAAGGCAAATTCGTTATTATTTGCCAATCGAACTGCCGGTTTTTGGTAAGAAAAATGGCAAATTCTAGTAACATTTTTATCAATCCGTTGGTTTTTATTTTTCTTCCAAACCGCACCGACCCGCACCGCTATTAAATCATATTTTATAAGATTCTAAAAATTCTTTTTTACTTAAGTTTGCTTGTTATTCTATACCTTAAAATATAGTATTACATTACTGCTCGAGGGGAATTCAAGATATCAGTAATCCAAAATAAAGTTGGATTCCAATTCACTTTTCAATCCTTTTTTTTTTTTTTTCTGGCCATGTTGCAAACTTGCATCAGCTCACTTTTCAATCTAAATACTTTTCAACAGTAAACATTTTCAATATATTGTAAACCCTGAATGATATTAATTTTATGTATTGTATTTGATCATTGTAGTTTCCACAGATGCTTGTAATGAACTGATGGCATAGTCATTGATATTATCATGTTGTTGCTACACTTGCTGCATCAGAAGAAAGCTTCGCAAGATGCTTAACATCACGATGTCTCTCGTCTTTTTTTTACTCTTTGATTTAAGTTTTGTAATTTGAATTATTCACAAGATGCTTAACATCACGGTATCTCTCGTCTTTTTTTTATTCTTTGATTTAAGTTTTGTAATTTGAATTATATTTTTTATAAACCGTCAATCCGCCCGAACCGCCAAGGCAAATATGTCATTATTTACCAACCGAACCGCCGGTTTTGATAAGGAAAATGACAAATTCTAGTGACATTTTTATCAATCCGCCACCCGCCATACGGTTTCTATTTTTCTCTCAAACCGCACCGACCCGCACCGCGCACACCCCTACCTACAAGTCAATGAAAAAGAAGCCCTACAGGTCGGTCCAAGTATTTATCTTCTAAATTCGTTTATAAGATTTATATAAATTTGTGAAATTTAGGTTGATTTGTTCTTGACTAATTTTTGGGTTTGATTTGTTCTAAATTGATTTTGAAATTTGTGTGATTTATTCTAATTTTTTGTTCCTGATATGTATGAAATTTGTGAATTTGGCAACTCCTTTGATATTTGGGTTTGATTATGAAATTTGGAAGGTTTTTCTATTGAATGAATTCTGTTTTTTTTCAACAGAATTTGGAACCAAAAATCTGTTGATATTCGATGATGTGACATTTTTGGCACCTGCTATTCAACCTGCCAAATTTGAAAATAGAAATGACATATGCTATCCTTGGCAAGAAGAATAACAGGTCATTAGAAAATCTTTTTTTTGTCACTCGTCAAACTATAGCTTTAGCAGCTCCTTTGACAACACCATTGAGCATCTCCAATGGTATTGTATTTTTCTTGTCGAAATCAAAATTTAGTGACTAGTTTCAAATTGATGTATCCAATGATTAGTTACCTCTCATGTTAAATTATTTTATCATCAAATTGCGTAAAATTTAATAAAAAATTTGGTAAAAATGTCAAAATTTAGTAAGAATTTTTCTTTATCCGTATGAGGGTCACAAATGGCATTTATATTTCATACTCTATAATAAAAAAAAAATGACATCATATTACATTTTAGCATATTGTTAGCGGAAATTTAGTCTTCATATTGTTATTTTGACAACTATTAAAAACGCTTAGCTGCGCGAAATTGATATAGTAGGTAAAATCATCCTCACGAGCTTTGAAACAAACTGGTGTAATTGAATTTTATTTGACCACGTACTGGATTCATGTCTTCTAATTCTGTAAGTTTATGGAAAGAGATGGTTATTTCATTTTCTTTTGTAGGTAAAATAACCACCCAACACAACACTTTTTCAATCCATTTTCTTTTTTCTCCAAGATCCAGACAAAGAATTGCTATATTTTTATGATGTTCCAGCCAACTGCAATACAGAGCTAACTTCAATGAATACAAGCAAAGAAAAGCGCAACACCGATAATGCAATTCTCACTTTGGAGCTTTCACAAACTGATAGCAATAAGACAGAAGTATATACTACAAAAAGCATACTCCCCATCACCCAAGCCAAATGACAGCGAGTCAAGTCTGAGTGCTATACAGACAGGTCATATAACAAGCTTCAAAGTTGTTGGGTCAAAGACTACTAAAGAATAGACGGCAAAACAATCAAATAAATTGGTTCTTCAAACTGCTCAGGAATTATGTGCATTCAGTAGCGCCTGGTAAACCATGTCGATGAATTGATTGTCCTGTCACACAAACAATGGTTAATTAGATAGATAAGACCAATGAACAAATGAGGACTAAAGATAGAGTAAGCATCCAAATAGATCTGTACAGGCCTTGCAATCTACCTCAACTACCAATTTTGGAACTTAGCCAATGATAGCAATCAGAGTACACAAAGTCCAGTCACACTACCGGGGCCAATCTTGATTATCTGAACATATGGTTGCTTGATCTGACTATTCCACTGAATTTAACGTGCTGGTGACATAATTGAGGTTCACACATGCCATCCTAAAGGGAGAGGGTGGGATAACAATTGATCCCAAAACCAACCCATATAAAGAGACTAATAGTCTCAGCGCACAAGAAACTGATTATAAACATTACCCGAATGTCTGTCCAAACTTGACCTACTAGTTTTTTTTTTAGAGCTGAAAATAATTCGGACATTTCGGGAAATATGCGTCCAGCGTTTACATATACATGAAAACATTGCAAGTTTAAATAAAATAAGTTGAGAGTCAATAAAAAAATCCAAATAATGTGAATTTATAATTATTAATATCTCCGCCTTTAATTTGTTTGTTTGTTTTAAAAAAAATAAAATAAATTAAACCTAAAACTTACAAGGTGGGTCATGGCACAGCAGTAAGGTTGCTCCATTGCGGCATGTGCATCACAATTTCAAACCACAGAAACAAGCTTTACAAACAGGAGTAAGGTTACCTACACTAGAAAGTGGCAAAAGCCTCTTGCACTAGGACTGCCTCCCCCCCACCCCGGCGTAAAACCAAAAATTTTCAATTTATTTATTTTTGGTTTTTGAGCTACAAAGATACTCTCCAACGTTAACTTGGACTTGAAGAGCACCTCCCACTCAAAGGGTGGCATCACATGCTAATCATGACAACTGCTGGTAGCATCAATTCTAACAACTAATAACCACAGAGTGCAACAATTTGTTCATCCCATGCCGGAAGGCGAGGGATAGATGGAAAATGAAAGGATAACTTAAAAGGTAAATGATTACAAAGCTCAGAAAAGACATACCTGAACAAGTATCTGAAAGGCGTCACGGACTTTATCTCTGCTAATAACAGGACCATAGTTTGCAGCAGGTACGGAAGTTGGAGTCAGAGATGGTGGGGGTGTGGGTGGCGGAAATGGTTGAAGCAATGGAGCACCATAAGGGCGTTGGAGACTCGCAACAGGCTGAAGTGGAGGAGCAGTAGGCATAGATGGAGAGACAGGTGGCATAACTAATGTAGAAGAGGAAGGGGGAGGACTGAAAAACGAAGATGGCTTTACAAGATTAGTGGCCTGATTGCTATTGTTGCTGATTTCAGGGTTATCAAGGAGAGGCATTAAAGAAGTCGATGCTGAGAGAGGAGGAGATGGCATCTGGATGGTTGGTGCAGTTGGAGGAACGCTGGGTGGACGGGAAGGTGGGATCACTGCAGATAACTGGTAAGGCTGTCCGGTCATTGCTGCATTTGAAACATTCCCGATAATCATAGCCGCCTGCAAACACACAACTGGAAATCAAGCCACAACCAAACAATTAAGTCCTAAAGAAATTACTTCATTTAAGTGAACAACATTCTGCGACAGTTAGTCAATTATTATCCTTTAAAACATCACAATGCAACTTCATATCTTTCAATTAAGTATCATTTCAGATTATACAAGTCTTCATCGGTTATAAACTTGTAAGAAAAATATGGCATGCATGCATGCATGAATAGAGGGCTCTAAAACACAGCAGAAACAAAAACCTAAGATGTAGAAGAGAAGAAAACAAGAAGGAAAAATAAAAGCACATGAAAGACACATCAGGGCTAAAGTACATCCAGCAAAACATTATCAACACAAAACTCAATACTTCACAAGGGAAATCTTGAAACCCTCGTCCTCGACAAGCCCACCTTACAATGAAGAACATTTAAATAAATGTACTCAATGCAAAGGGAAAGTTTGAAAAGGATAAACCATTCCCATGCAACTTCATATCTTCGGATAAAGATTTCTTTCTGTCTTTGGTTATAAGAAAAATATAGTGTGCATATATAAAAACACAGAGGACTCTGAATACAATAGAAACAAAAACCTAAAATGTAGAGGGAAAAATGAAAAGAACATGAAATGAAACGATGGGGCTTAACCACATCCAGCAAAGCATTATCAACAGATAACCCAATATACTTCACACAAGAAATTCTAGAAACCCTTGGCCTCAGCACATCCGCCTTTATTAGAATGAACTCCATTTAACCGCAAGCATCGGCGCAAGGGAAAAGTAAAGGTTCATTTATCAACCCCATGTAAAATAGATGTGTAACCAGTAACCACCAATGACCATTTTAACTTGTAAAGATTAAATAACTTTCATACAAAATTTCTTATGTATCCTACCTAAGACATGTTTTCCCAATATTTTGATGTTTTTTTTAGAGATCTAGACAACCATCTTGTTTCGTCTAGAATTAGCAATTACTCAACCCAGCTCAATAAGTTTCTGTTCCAATTACGGGGTCAGCTCATTTCTTCCAAATGATTCTATTCAAAGCCATATTATTTTGGTTCTATTCGAAGTAATTGCTTTTCATCTGTTTTTCCCTTGCTAAATACTAGCCAATCATAATCCCATCCCCCTTGACAGACAAAAAAATTTGTTTTTCACTGTGTTTGGTTTCAATTTTCTGGAAATTGAGTTTTTTATTTTTTGTATTTTTTTATTTTTAGTGAATATTTTAAAAAAATTTAAGCATTTTTTTTACTTTTTTATATGCACCTTACTTAAAAGTCAGATGTATTTAAAAAGTAAAACATTTAAAAAAAATATTTTAAATAATCAATAAATACACAAGAATACGAAAAATGTACTGAATTTTAGTATTTTTTTTTTTTGTATTTTTGGTATTTAGTAAATTTTTAAAAGATTTTTTTTACAAATATTATACTTTTTAAGTGTATTTATGTTATGTGTATCTAAAAATTAAAAAACAATTGCTTAAAATGTTAAAAAAATTCAGTAAAAACAAAAAATACAGAAAATAAAAGTTTTAATTTTCCAAAAAGTGAATTCAGAAAACTCAAACCAAACAAATTGAATTATCCATAAGAATAATGCCTCAATGTCTGAACATAAAGTATGTATGCACATATAGCAGTCTATTTTTGAAAATATCAACACAGAGAGAGAAAGAGAGCACTAAAATCACACAATTATTTCCTGAATAATTGTGAACACAACAATAAAAATAAATACAGCAATACGATATCTTTCAATGCAGTATAAAATTTGTAACATAATAAGACAGCTGCATATTACAAGTAAATTTCAGACAGGCTTGAAATATAAACCATAATATAGTTATGGGGTCCAAGTTACATAGCTAGGAAGAGTGCTTACGCTGAAGAAATTCACAAAGGAAGGGTCATCAGTAACATCTGTAACGTTAGTGGTAGTTGATGATGATGGCTCTAGAGGACCGTCCATTACTGCCATAGTTGGTACTGCTTCCAGTTCTTCAAAATCACTGCAGTGAAGCATATATAGACGGAATTTTCAAAAAATAGTAACCAAATATTAAAATCATGCCACATGTCAAAATGTATGTTTGTCATAAGGGATGATGGCAGCCAACAACCAAAGTACAAGATACAAGGGATTAAAAAGCATTGACAGCAGAGAGTGAAGGTAAAGCCACAAGAACATAAGTAACTCTTTAATAACACGATATCTGAAACTAAAAAAGACAATGAACTAGACTCGGAGGCATTATACATTTGCCACCATAAAACCCACAACTTTAGATACCATCAGCTTGATATTTAAAGCAGGAGCAGAAACAACAAACTAGCCACTCTGCAAGTACTCTACAAAGAAAACACATGCAAAGGCAGCACACTTAATCACAACATAAGGAAATAAGAAATATAGGCACAGAACAGCAGGGGGAGCTAGGCTAATGTTTGAATAAAAACCTCTCAAGCAAGGATTTAGGAAATAGAAACATGGAGTGTCACATTTAACATAGTTTCTGGCAATATGATGATGCTATTGCACTGTGAAGGTGGTTTGAAAAAATTATTTGGAAGGCGTGCCAGTGTTGCATGTCTCTGCTACTTAGTCTGGTGTCTCAATTAGTTTTACAATTCTATTATAGAGTTAAATTTGTTGCACTACTTAATAAGGTCTAACCAATTCAATTATGTATCTCTATTTTTATTATGGTCAAAATGCAATGGGGTGTCACATAGATTAGATATTATAAGCTGAATGAATTCATGCACATAGCTATCTCAATAAAAAAAAAAAAAAAAACAAACAAACAAAACAAAACAAAACAAAGAAAATCTTATGAATGGCAAAATGACTAATCAAATATTAGAAAAGCTCAAAAGAATAAATGAGCACTTCTAAGAACGTAAATTGGTATGTATAGGAATGGGCATCAATCATTTATTACCTTCTCGTTGGAGATACGTTCGACTTTGGAGGCACCTTGGAGTATGCAATCAGTATCCTGCTCATACACAAATGCAAATAACAACTCAATTCAACAAGCCATTATCCCAAGGGATAAAGAATCAAATGAATATGAAAATTGGCTTTCCCCACATATAAGTTATTAGCTATAGAAGGGGACAAAAAGCTACTAAAAGCTCAACAATACAACTACTTTTTACAGCTCATGATAATATAGGAAAAATGTACAACGGATTGGATAAAAAAAACTACTAACACAAGTATTAAGCACCACTCAACCTGTAACATGTATAGAATTTGAAAGTATATCTTTTAATAGTGTACAAATGACCAAATGAAGGGATCACATCAATCAAGCAAGCAATGCTGACAAGGGAACATGGATATCTTTTCTGATAGAGAAAAAACATACAATTTCAAAGAGAAGAAAACCACATACATACAACCAACTTTCTACGTCCAAAATTTGTACATCCACTAAATGATGAAACGAAAAGTTAAGTACATGTAGCGAACCTATGTAAACATCCTTGGATGCGTTTATCTTATCTAAATCATTTACACAAAATTCACAAAAAATTATGCTAACTTCACCTCAGTTTTCTTTTTTGGTAAGTAGAAATTTATTAAGAGATACTTAAAATAGGGATATACACAAATGTATATATCAAAGTGAAAACCTTTTTTTGGTAAGCATGCATTTTTATGGAAAGAGGCACACACCAAGGGGGTACAACCCGTATACAAAAGGAGAAAAAGATAAAGATAAAGATCTATGCCGATTGTACCTTAAAACTTTACTCGAAGGACACTACAAAATCCAAAACTTTGTTCAAGGAAGGATCAACTCCACCCAAAAGCCAACTGTATGCAAGAGATAAAATCATACTCCTCAACTTAATTAGTAATTTCATCCCCTCAAAAGTTCTCCTATTGTGTTTCCCCCATATTATACACATCAAAATAAACAGCACCAAACACCGTGTTTCCTACTCTTCCCAATTTTTGTTCCCCTAGTATAAATACAATCCATCATATTATTGTTATTGGAGAGTCAAAACCTCTACATCTCTACAAAAATATACAATACTCCCAAAAACAATAGAAAGGAAGCAAAAGAGAAAGGAAAAATTCCAAAACCCACACACACACACATATATATATATGAAAATAAGTATAATTCCCTTCAAGAATAAGCCATTTCTCACATTAAATTTTTTTAATCCTGTCTTTCCACCAAGGACACCAAAACTTGCATAATGGAGTAGCCTCCCAAAGCCTTCTTATATAATCCCTCCAGGCAGCCTCTGTCCCAAGATGCAAAAAGCTCCTTAATAGTGGTAGGCATCACTACCAAGGACACCAAAACTTGCATAATGGAGTAGCCTCCAAAAGCCTTCTTATATAATCCCTTCAGGCAGCCTCTGTCCCAAGATGTAAAAAGCTCCTTAATAGTGGTAGGCATCACTCAACAGGACACCAAAACTTGCAAAAAAAAAAGAAGAAAAAAAAGGCCAGAAGAATAAGATTTCAGACTCTCTTATCAAGCCTCAATGAAACCCTTTCAAGGATGAATAACAATGAAGTCAACTCATTAAGCCTCACCTCATTAAGATGTCTAAGGAAATTAAAATCCCAAGAAATAGGAGCCGAAGAAAACAATGTCATAGAAACAATGGAGACATTCAGAGAACGAGTCAAATGATATAATCGAGAAAACAAATAATTAAATGAATTCTTCCCAATCCAAACATCTATCCAAAAACAAATATTCTAATAAATCTTGAATAAGAATCCAGCCCTTGAGAAATGAACTTTCAAGGAGAACAAGATTTTCTCCCATTCACCACTCTTGACTCCCACCCATCAAGGAGAACAAGCCTTTAGTTTTTCTGTAGTTGATTAGAAAAAAAATTCTTTAAAAAAAAAAAAATTTGCTTATAGTCCTCCATAACTAATACTTACAAAATATATTTAAAGTTATTAGGGGTAAATACTTAACGTAATTCACACCTTTATGATTTAAACTTTGGATGTATTTCGCATGATCCCTCTATGGCTTAGGTCAATGACTAAAGTGCACTGTCAAAATTAACAGGAGGTGCAACTCACGCCCCTTTGTTGAGAATGAATTATTTTTTTAGACAAAATAACCCTTACAAATCTTCAAAATTACAAAACTATCATTGCCTTCTTCCTTTCTCTCTATACTTATTATCTCTCTCACTTCCCCACATAACTACCCCCTCTTGCATAGAGACCTTGAGGCTTGGTATCATCCCAACCTACAATAGAGTGAGATACTTCAGAACTTGTTATATTGCAGTCATCCCCACAAAGTCCCACGTATAATGAGCAGTAGGAACCACTAGAATTGGTTGGTGGGTCAAATCTACGGCATGCCAAAGGCATTCAATGGCTATGTTAGGGACTCTTGAGTTGGTGGTCACTGCTTCTAGCTACCACATCCCTCTACCTCAATATCTCACATTTGTCTTAGATGTAGACAAATGAGGATGTGGAGGAGAAGAGATGAGTTGTTGTTGAGTGTTGCTATGGGAGGGGGATGGTAGACAATGGTGGGGCAAGGCAGGGGAGGGAAATATATAGAGGGATGCCCTAAACATAACAAACACACTAACGCTTATTATGTCATATTCAGAGGTGAGGGTGGGAGGGGTGTCTATAAACATAGGGAGTTAAGTGCTTATTTTAGTGTTAGGGAGTTATGCACATGTGGTCCAAACCACAAAGAGGTAAAATGAAATTTACCATTAAACTTTAAATCTTGAGAGTTCTCTATTTCAATTTTGCCTAATAAAACAAACATTTTCTTATTTGTTTCCTATATGCTTTCTATAATAATATGCAAGAGATTTCTATTAGTTCTTTTCTTATTTTTTCTTAAGTTTGAATTAAGCATTCACTATGTTTGATATGAGTATCCATTGAAGCAATCATATAGGTTTCTCATATGCTTTTTTACGGATTTTCATTATTTTTTTTTTGCAAAACTTTCTTGTTAGGATTATTAGATTTCACATTTCATTGATCCTTTCTCACTTCCCAATTCCCCCATATAGTTTGGTCATAATCCTTCTTCTGCTTTATTAATTACGGCATAGTAAAGCATCCCATACCCATTTCAATTAAAAAGGGGCACTTCCCAAACCACCAATTTAGTCAACCAACCACATGACAAAATAACATAAATTTACTGCAACCAAGGATATATATACATATATATTGATCAGTCAATATCAACATAAGAAAATTCAAATAAGTAAACTTTTCTATTAAGACACAAGAAGTGAAAATATTATGCATGTATAAAAATCCATAATCTGCACATGCTGCAATTGTAGGAAGACACTAAAAAAGTAATTCATATGAGTTGATTCTGTCTACTTCTTCCTCTACTACCTGCTAAAGATATTAGCAACCTCCTCACATTCTTGTTTATTGTAAAACCATATACCATTTACTTCTTGGGCCGCATTTCGATATAATAAGTATGGAACCTGGACTTCGTACTCAAAATCACCCAAGAGATTCTCTACCAAATTATCTGCTCATAAGTGTTAATGGTTCATTATAATGCCACATGATCGTACCAAAGTGTTGACATGCACTGTATAAGGTTATTATTATCCTTTCGACTTTAATAAAAGTCATGCTGATGACAGGAAAAATAGAGGTAGCAATTAAGAAAGAACACACAAACACACACAGACAGAGAGAGAGAGCAAAGAACAAGATTTCTGTGTAGTTTTATAATATGAGAACAGTGGCTAAACAATGAAATACTTATCAAATTACCAAAACATAATTAAGGGAAAGACATCATTGGTGTCTAACATTTGAAAGCGTACATTTTTTTTTGGGCATGTCCTAAGATTATCTGGGGACAAGTTTTGAAAAAGTAAATGTGAGAATTCAGTTGTGCAACAAAAGAATTCCAGACAATTGAATCATGAAAGAATGAAACAGTGTATATATGAGAAATCAATAAAGATTTATATGATGCCACTCCTAAGTTTTGCAACTTAACAATGGGAAAGGAGGTATATCAAAAAGTCAAAATGATAGAGATATTATCTAATAGCACCCAAAAAAACAATCGATTTGCAGTCGTCTTTTTTCCCAGAAAAAATAATCTACTCTACATTTGATCAAGGATATAATTACTTTTCTTTTTTCATTTAAAAAAGTAAAATTTGCTAAAATGCAAACCAAGTGTTACAAAGAGGAAAACTGGTGTAGACCACACTACATGGATACCAAACCAAAGTTTGCTGTGTCAAGGGCTATACATGCTAAGTCAAATTAATAAAACTCATATCATTTTTTACTACCACATCTCATGTCAATTTAAGTCTTCCTCTTCTCCTAATATTTTTATTTAGGGTGATCATGTCACTTTTTCTAACCGTTGCATCTACAAATATATGGATGGAAACATTATAAAAGCACAACTTACAAAAGTTTACCTTTAATGTTTAAAATTCCAAACTAAAATATTCAAACCTTTCTGTCAGATCACTAAAGCAGAAGACTTCAATTTCCACCCACAACTTGTTGAAATTTCCAAAGTAGAGTTAATGGGTGGATGCACTACGCATCAATCATGAGGATGCAAAATAAAATCCAATTGATAGGCATGAATTTTGAAACAAATGATATATTGCAAGAATGGACAGACTTGATTGTCTCCCTATTTAAGACAACATATGCTACAACATACGAAATCTATTTATTTTCCCTTATTACTATTTTTTTTTTATAAAGAAACTGTGAAGTCCGTAATAAATAAGACTTTGAGAATGCCCATAAAGAACACAATTTTGTGGTGGCTACATGCTATCCCACTTTTGTCTCTAATTGAGACAATGGAAAATGCTAGAGGTCCCAAATTTTCTACCCATGTGAGACAGTGGTCATTTGTTTAGTAGAAAATTTGGTGTCCCTAGCATTACCCTTGAGACAATCCTTAAAATATTACTTTAGGTAATTGCTTTTAAGCAGACTCAAATTCAATTACTAGCAACACCTACCTAATGCCCATACCAAGAGAGAGAGAGAGAGAATCAAAATTTGAATTGCATTACACTAAAAACAGCACACGCAGTCGAGGGAAATAAAAATGAGAAACCAACCTGTATTTCTCCTGTTCATTACTATAAACTGGAACCGAGGTTGAGTGTTCCTGAAATGATCACAAGATTAAAAATGTAACATAGACAACAATAAAGATCAATCCCAGCTACATAAAACATCAAAATATACGCCAAAATCAACTCTAAACGCACCAAAACCCTAGAAATACAATCCAAAATTCAAGCTTTCAAAGGACCCAAATCTCACCTCTTGACGACAAACAAAGAGCCTTCTACATCCTTGCGACTCTGCAATTGAATGAAAATCATAAAACGAATAAAAATACAATAAGAAAGTTAGTATGAGGTCGATATGAGGAATACCCATTGGCTTCGATCGATGTTGAATTCATATAAGGTGACATGAGCTGCAGTGATGAGAATTTCTTCGACAAAGGGATCGATTCGCTGAAGAACAGTCAGATTAAGGACTTTGGTGCTTTGCTGGTCCAGATTCGGCATTAATTTGCCATTCTGAGACATTTTTCTCTCTCTCGATAAATGTATATTTTGTAATTATTTTTATGTACAAACTTATATATATATAAATCTATCGAAAGAGAGAAATCATAGAAACCCTAGGTGGGTGTTGAGTTCTTCAATCAGGCGCGCGCGTGCCTCTCCCTCTCTCTCTCAGTAGAAAGAAACACAAAGGATTCTTCTCATTCACGAGGCCTCTCTGGCTCCTCTGTTTTCTATTGAGAGAGAGAGACAGACAGACAGAGACAGCTGTGCAGTAATACGTGACACACATATACATTAGCATCTACATAGACTAGGGGGTAATTTGGGAAGATTGATTTTTTAGACAACCTTTTCTGTTTTTTTTTTTTTTAATTTTTTTTGACTCACATTATCTATTTATTTTTTTATATAAAAAAATGTAAAAAATTAGTTTTTTATCATCATCTTAAAATACCACTTTACTACTTTAATTTTTGGACAAAGTTTGCTTACCAAGGTGCAAAATCACTCATAATCTCATTATATCAAAATTAAATTTAATATTATTACAATAAATCATTATATATAGTGATATATTGTTCATAGATTATGTAATATTTTATTATTTATTTTTAAGAGTGACCAAATATCTTGTTAGTTATTCTATCAAACATCTTGCTGAAAGATCGACTACTGCACTAATTTTTTTTAAAAATATAAAATATAACATTTTATCGTTTATTATCAAACATTTGCCCTATCATTTAGCTCAACATCTTCTCAAATGACTGGTTTTGCACCATTTTTATTATTATTATTATGTTTTATTATTTTTTTTATAATTTTTCTATTGTTATATTTTATTTATAATCTCATGTATTAACAATGTATTTTATTTTCATTAAAATATTATTTTTTATTGTCTTCTTTTTCTATAATTTTTCTTTTATTATATTTTATTTATAATCTCATGTTTTAATTCTGTATTGATAACAAATATAAGTGGTAAGATAATATTAAACCAATACAATATTAACGTATGAGATAATAAAATTTAGGATTAATTACAAAAAAAAATCCAAGATTTCACGTGTTTTTCAATTTAAACTCCAAAATTTTAATTTCGACAAATTAAACCATCGAGTTTTATCTGTGTTTTAATCTGACCCGTCCATCCATCTCCGTCATATTAAATTAACGAAAATCTAGGCAAAATTTCAGATTTAAACCTACATATTCAAACACTTGTATATCCCTTGTCGTAAGTCCGTTTCGCCTCATTTTTGCGTCATTGGATTCACCTCATGACTTAGTTTTCATTCCACTCTTCATACACCTTGCCCAACATCTTTTTACTTGCTGTCGGAGCTCCAAAAGTTGGCAATTTTTCTCTCTTTCGGCAAAAGTTTCAAATTCAAACCCACATGTGTTAAACACTTGCATCTCTCTTATTGTAACTCTGTTTCGCCTCATTTTTGCATCGTTAAATTCATCTCATGGCCTAGTTTTTATTCCACCCGTTATATGCCTTGTTTCACCTCTTTTTGTTCGTCAAAGTTTCGAAAGTTAGCCAGAAATAAGATCTCTCTCTCTCTTTCTGTTGAAATCTTGGATGGTCTTATCAAGTTCCATTGAGCTGAGAATTTCAATTGCCCTTTCGTACCTATGCTCTGTAACTCCAAAGCTTCCATAGCAGAACTTATAACCCCATCGACCAAACCAAGGGTGTCCATAAGCTACCTTGTGAAGCAATTGAAGATCCATCTACCGCTTCTTCGACACATCCACCACTATTATTTTCCTTCAAAACATCAATAACCCAAAACAATTCAGATCATTTATCGTTCTTAAACATAATAAAAACTTAATTCATTTAGAAAATTTCGTTACCAGGCATGAAGATTTGTACAAATACGATTTAGCGATCCATGATTTCTTTACCACAAAGGTACTTAGATCTTGCTTCGATGCCATTGATACAGAGTAGATGACCAAATCCATTACAGTGAATCAACCCATGCAAGAGATGGGTTTGCTGATCAAAAACACCATCATCCAAGGGCTTATTCCACTCATCATCCATTGGAATCCAATCAAGCATTATCCATTGCATCTCCACTGCTAAGAATAATGTTGCGATAGCAGCAAGAAAAAATCAAAAAAAAAAAAAGAAAAAAGAGAGAAAGAGAAAAATATTATTTTTGATAAACTTTCGGAACTCCGACGACATGCAAAAAGAGGTGAAACAAGGCATATGAAGGGTGAAATAAAAATTACGTCATGAGGTGAATCCAGCGACGCAAAAATGAGGCAAAACATAGTTACGACGAGGGAAATACAAGTATTTGAACATGTGGGTTTGAAAACTAGGTCATGAGGTAAATCCAATGACGCAAAACTGAGGTGAAATAGAGTTACGACGAGGGGATACAAGTGTTTAAGCATGTGGGTTTGAATCTGAAATTCTACCTAGATTTCCGTTAGTTTAATATGATGGAAATGGACGGAGAGGTCAGATTAAAACACAAATGAAACTCTAGGGTTTAATTTGTCAAAATCAAAATTCTGGGATTTAAATTGAAAAACACGTGAAACCCTAGAGTTATTTTATTTTATTTTAAATTAACCCAAAAATTTATACATAATTTTCATACATAACTATTGAAAAAATTTGTTATGGAATTATGTTTTTCATTGTACACAATATTAGCCAAAAAAAATAATTTTCACCCAAATAAGCAAAGCATAAATAATAAACAAAATATATAATAATTGTAATATTATTGAATATGTTATTATTTAAAATCATTTGATGGTCCTTTAGTCACTAGCTAGTTGTAGCTATTGGGTTGATGTTGAACTAAAATAGCCAACAACTAGATGACTTTGATCGAATACATCTTGCCGGAAGATTGGCCACTCCATCAGTTATGTTTAGAATATGAAATATAATATTTTATCGTTTATTATCAAACATTCGACATGTCATTTGGTTGGACATCTTCCCAGATGACCAACAGTGCACCATTTTATTATTATTATTATTAAAATATTATTTTTTCTATAATTTTTCTTTTATTATATTTTATTTATAATCTCCTGTGTTAATAGTGTATTTTATTTTTATTAAAATATTGTTTTTTAGTGTTTTTCTTTTTCTATAGTTTTTCTTTTATTATCTTTTATTTATAATCTTATGTGTTAATGCTGTATTAATAACAAATATAAGTGGTAAGATAATATTAAATTAATATGAGATAAATTAAAAAAATTTACTAGTGTTTTTTTATTAATTGATTTTGAAATTTAAAAGAGGACTCCCTTCAATAATATAATATCACATTAATGAGTAGATTTTTTTTTTTTTTAATTATAAAATTTATTGATTTATAAAATATTACTCCACAAACTTTTGTAAAACTTGTCATACGTAGTGTGAAATTCACACAAAACTTATAAATGTACTAGTAAGATTTATTTATTTATTTTTGTATGAAAGTGTTGGTAACCCTAACATTTCTCTAACTACACTTCCCACTATACCAACTAGTTGTCTCTTCTACTCAAAGCATGGGTCCTAAACATATAGAATAGGGGTGAGCAAATAACCTAAAAACTTGTGAATTGAATCAACCAGATTTTGATAGGTTGGTCGGTTAGGTTCTTCAAGAGGCATAATTCGATTCAACCAAACCAACTAGGATGGTTCTATTGTTGATTCAGCATTATGTATATCTATGTATATATATTATATTATATAAAATTCTACTATGCTGTGCATAACTCTATATAGTTTTCAATTTATAATGGTGAACTTTGCAACATTAAATCATGCAATATAAATATTTTGAAAAACAACTTTTCTAAAACTTTCATTTTATAATTAGTATTTACAAAAAGAGCAATGATTGAGAACTCCACCCTCACAAGATCCCTACAGATCTAAATCACTCATGATATGGACCTCACACATACATAAGTAGATCCCACACATACATGGAAGGTCAGGATTACTTTGGAGGTGTGGGGGTCATCTCCAAAGGGGGTCCCAAAACATCTTCCAATTGAAAAAATCAAAATCTTTCTCATGAAATTTAGAGCATCTCTTTTGCCATTGCCAGCTTTCTTCTGGCTTTTAGTATGGTTTGGTTCTACTCTATATTTTAGATTTGAGACCTGGTTGGGTAATTGATTTGCACATCTTTTATGAAATTGTAACAAAACAACAATGCTAAACAAGCCAAAATTATTAAACTCTAATAAATCACTCTGTGTTTTACATTAACAAAGAACCAAACCAATAAAAATTTAAGCAAAGTAGTATAAACTAAACAATCACCCTCAATGAATGCAGCAAAAAGACAACCCTGAGAAGGAACAGTAAGAATTTCAGCATGCTTTATAGAATACATGTACTTGTATAGAACTGGGAATCAAATAAGAACCTGAAACAAATCAATGCTTTATGTATTTATTCATTTATTGTGTTACATGAAAAAGTGCTAAAAGGATAACTTACAACATCGTCTATGGCTGTCTGGTGCTTCAAAATCTATGTACAGCAGACGAGACCACTCAAAACAAACAAGTTGGTTTTGTCATTCTAAAACTGTATTCTTCTTCCAAGTTTAGTTTATAGAAAATTACAGAGCTCCCTGGCAGCCAGATACTACCCTGTTTGGTGCAGTTTTTGGTAAACTAATAACAAATAATCAGAAAACAGAAGCCAAAAACATCCTACCCTCAACTTCTATAGATAATCAACTTTTTCAACTTAAGCTATTTTTTCCTAATAAGTTGCAAGCAGAAGCTGCATCAAATAGTTTGATATAAACTCCTAAAATAAAAGAATTTTTAATCAATTCATATAAGCTACACCAAACAGCCCTCACCAATAATCTCCACAAGAACAAATGCCATCCTTGAAGTGATGAAAACGATTTGCATCCCTAACAACTATCTTCCTATCAACAAGCTTTGATATTAGTTTGGTTGCTGAATGACAATTCACACAAGCTCGGAGATTTTTTGTTATCCTAAGCGTAGTTCCAGGCGGTGTACTGATTAGGCCGTAAGCGATTGCTAACCTCTCACTATGATTACAAAGACTCTCCGTCTTATCTTCATTATTCAAGTCATGCAACACAGAATCTGTATCGGGTATGAATCCAGCCTCCTTTAATCTACTCTCTAATCTCTCAAGTTCCTTGTAAATCTCTCTTTCTCTTGGATGTGACTTGTCTCCCATACGAAAGGCTTGAAGCTTTCCATTAATCTCAATCATACTATAACCCAGATCCTTACTCAGTCCTCTCTCCCTCATCAAAATCCGCACTTTTGCAACACCATTCCACATACGGGTTGAAGCGTAGAGATTTGAAAGCTGCACGTAATGTCCAGTATTTAACGGATCTAGTGAGAAAAGCCGTTCTGCTGCATATTCTCCTAGTGCCACGTGGCGATAGATTTTGCATGCACTCAAAAGGGCTCCCCATACGGTAACACCTGGTTCGATTGGCATGTTCATTATAAAATCATAAGCCTGGTCCAAATAGCCAGCACGGCCAAGCAGATCAACCACACAAGCGTAATGTTGGTGGCGTGGCTCAATTCCATATTCTTTCATGCTATGGAAGAACTCCCATCCCTGTTCAACAAGACCCGAATGGTTACACGCAGTAAGGAGCCCAATGAAGGTGACATCATTAGGGTGGACTCGAGCTTGCTTCATCATGTGGAAAAGATCAATGGCTTCTTTCCCACAACCGTGCAATCCATATCCTACAATCATGGCACTCCACACAACAACATCTTTATCCAGTGTCCAATTAAATACTTTGCGAGCCAACTCTACACTTCCACATTTTGCATACATGTCAATAAGGGTTGTTCTGACAAAAACATCATCTCTGTACATGCTACTGTTGACGTAATTTTCTATCCACCTTGCTTGTTCAAGCGACCCCACTTGTGCACAAGCTAAGATGGTAGATCTTACTGTGACAGAATCTGGTCTAATTTCATTAGATATCATATTCTGGAAGAGCTCCACAGCTTCGTCAGCACAACCATTTTTTGCGTACCCCGAAATCATGGCATTCCACAGAATCACATTGGGTACCTCCATTTGGTCAAATAATGACTTTGCAACCATTACCTGCCCACATTTTGCGTACATGGCTGTAAGTCCAATGCACAAGTCCAGTTCAAATTCAAGACCCATTTTAATAACACAACCATGAATGGATTTTCCGTGTTCCAAGTCCTCCACATCAGTGTAAGCCCTTAGGACACTCACAAGAGCAATCCAGTCCGGTTTTACGTTAAATTTTCTCATTTCACTAAAAATTCTCAATGCTTCCAGAGGCTGGCCATTCTGAGCATACCCAGAAATAATTGATGTCCATGAAACAATTGTCCTATCGTACAACCCATCAAACACAATCCTTGCCCGCTCAATTTGACCACATTTGGCATACAAAGCCACAAGCCCATTTTGCACAAACACATCTGACTCAAACCCGTGTCTGAATATCTGCCCGTGTATCACTCGACCCACTTCAAGTGCCTGAAATCCACTGCAAGCTTTGAGCACATGAGGAAGAGTGAAGCAATCTGGACTCACCCCCCAAACCTGCATTCTCCAATACATGTCAATAGCATCACTAAACATGTTGTGCCTTGAGTAACCTCGAATGATGGCATTCCACAAATACACATCTGGGTCAGGAAAATCATCGAACAACTCACGGACATAACCAATTTCCCCAAGATCCGAACCAACATTAATAAATTTTGTCACTAAAAATCCATTATCGTGTAGTGCAGAGACAAGTAGCTGAGCATGAATCTGATTCAAGTGCCTCTTGCTAATTGAACTACTTAAAAGAAATGTGTACAATGACGCGGAATTGAAGCTTCGGTGGAGGTTACTATCATAGTAGAAAGTGTGGTGGTCGTCCAAAGGCAGAGGTACCGAAGAGAAGTGCTGGTTAAATGGCAAGAATGTTAATGGTTTTGTGACCGAGCCTTGAACTCTCGAACGGACCGCGCTCCTTCTCATGAGAGATAGATACACAGCCATTTATCTGTAATGTCACATAATCAATCACAATACATTATTTGGAAAATTGAGTCCCCATTAATGATATTATTGTTACATTTTTACTAAGCAATCAATCTATGGTGTCAATTCATTAATGGGTTTGATTTGGTTTCAATTGAAATTGCAATGTTGATTGAACATTATTATTGATTCAACAATCCCAGGATTAATTTTGTTTGTGCGTGATTATCGTTCGTTCAAGTAATAAATAAAATGGGTAATTTGAAACAGAAACGAGTAAAGAAAAAACTGAAGCAGAGGAAACAAGTTTTTTTTTTTTTTTTACCTGGAGATGGAGTGGATTAACAGTGAAGACATGTTATGTTGGGTACTTGGCTTGGGTCCTTGTTCGTTGGAGAGCGAGGACGAGTGAAGCCTGAGAACTTCGCTAGAGAGAGAAGAAGAAGAAGAAGAAGAAGAAGAAGAAAAATGGTTTGAAAGTAATATGAATGGAAGCTTGTGTTGAATCGATCGTTGCAGGGTCTTCTGGCCGGCGGTTAATAGGGAAGATGGCCTCACAGTATTTCGCCCAACTCCCTCCCCATTCAAGTGTTGTTTGGGATTGGCATTTTTAATTTTTTTGGAAAATATGAACTAATTATTCATTTTTGTTTTAAAAATTTATATTTATTTGATTCGATATTATTTGAGTTTAAGTAAATGTTTTTTTTTATAATTCATTTTTCTAATTTTATGATTTATTTTTGAGATTGGAATGAAAAGGTGAGGAACCGGGGATGCGGCTGTTACTTAGTCACAACAGCAATCTGCTGTGCTCTCCTTGGAGGATTTTTTTGAGTCTTTTTTGATTATCTAAACCGTTCATATGTATGGTTTGTAATATAGATCATCCATGCAAAAAATCAAATTGATTGGAAATCTATAATTTTATAACAAGAGTACATTTGTTTTTTAAAAAATAAATGGTTAACATTATCTCAATAATTTTTGTAAAACAATTTGAATATGATCATAGGGTTATAGATTTCAGATTAACTTGATTTTTTACATGGATGATATACTCGACAAACCCTACAATATGAACGGTTCGGATCATCGAAAAAGACTCAAAAAAAGCCCTCTCGGCTCACAACAGATCATTGTTGTGACTTAGTCGCAGTAGCAACCCCATGTCCAAAGGTGAGATGTGGAAGATTATTTTTGGAGAGATTGATAGCTGAATGTTGGTTATTGAGTTTGGAAATCTACATTTCTGTTAGTGTGATTTTTTAGTGTTATATTAAAATGCTACATTTGAAAAAAAAATACATTAACAAGTTTTAGTATTACATTGATTGGAGTGTTATGTTTGGAAAAAATATACTAAAGAGCTTATTTGGAATGTTATTTTTGAGAAAAATATACTAAAGAGTTTTTTTTTTGTGTGTTACACTGAAGTGTTATGTTTGGAAAAAAAATACAATGAAGAGGTTTTTTTTTTTTTTTTTTTTTTGTTATTGAAATATATTACACTGAAGTGTTATGTTTGGAAAAAAAATACAATGAAGAGGTTTTTTTTTTTTTTTTTGGAATGTTACATTGTTTACGTTTGAAAAAAGTATTCCAAGGAATTTTTCAGTGTGTTACATTAGCGTGTTACGTTTGAAAAAAGTACAGTAAAGAGTTTTTGAGTGTATTATATTGGAGTGTTACGTTTAGAAAAAATGAACACTAAGGAGTTTTTGTATGTTACATTGATTGGAGTATTTTATTTGAGAAAAGTATACTAAGAAGTTTTTTAGTGTGTTAAGAGTGCTACCGCTCTTGAGTGTTACATTGGAGTATCACGTTTAAAAAAAATATACTAAGAATTTTTTTAAAAATATTATGTTTAGTAATTTCAACATTATGAGAAAAATCCACATTTATCCCTCAACACATAACACAAACGCGTTTATATTTGGTCTTTTATGTAATTCACACCATAATGAGACCTTAGGATTGATAAGAAAAAATGGAGGACCAAATAGTTTATAGGATTACTATTTGGAATCATCTCTAATTCTCCACTTTATTTTTTATTTTTATCTAAATTCCGTTCTTATAAGCAAATACTCAATACCTAAGTAGGCTTACAAAGTTGATCATAATATGATCACGTGCTTTCTAGGTCGTCTCAGACCTTGCAATTTATTATGTTTATCCCCCCCAAAATTTGGAGACTTTTTACATGCATAGAAAGGGTTTACTTGTTACTTTAGCCTCTGCTTTTCTTTAGATCTCGTGTTTCACTACGATAGTATCATAAATCCGGTCAATGCATAGGAAATGAGTGCATTTCTATACTATTCAATCTTAAATAAGTGAAATAGACATAATCATAATTTTGAATCCACCTTTTAAAAAATTAAATTTTTTATTTTCCATATATATATATGTATTTTCTTTTCAATGATTTTTTTAATATTTCAAGTAATTTTTTTAGTTTTTAAGTACTTTTTTGGGTGAATAATTTTGTATACACCTAACATAAATAAACTTAAAACGTATGTCTATAAATTTTTTTTAAAAAAAATCACTAAATATTAAAAATATAAAAAAATAAAAATTCATTATATTTTCGTATTCTTGTGTATTTATTGATTTTTTAAAATATATTTTTTTATTAATTTTTAAGTATATCTAGGTTAGGTGCATGTAAAAAGTTAAAAAAATTCTTAAAATTTTAAAAATATTTACTAAAAACAAAAAATAAAAAAACTCAATTTTCAAAAAATTAAAACCAAACAAGGTCCACATTCTTTCTTCAATTTTTTCAAAAGATTCTTCTTTTATCCCAAATTTATTTTTTCATCAAATTTAATGAAAAAAGAATCTCCAATGCTTTATCTAACTAAATTTTCATCAAATTAAAATTTGCTAAATTATCAATTTGATAATAAAAAAAATTATCCCTTAATTTGATAAACATTTAATAAAAATATTGAAAGTGAGATTAGAGATGCTCTGAGTATGTAACATATGTATTACAACTGAACCGTCTTTTTAAGGTTTAGACCCTCTTCAGTCTTCAATTCAAGCCTTTTTTATATGTTTTTTTCAAGTAGTGTTCTTTTTAAAGTCTACAACTGTGTATTACGACTTGACCATCTTGTTAAGGTGGTCTTCATAAATCATCATATACGGCACATGCAACAGTCATTGCCCAAAACTTGGGTCATGAGTCCTCTGCATAGAACTTTGTCATTACATCCACATTACATCCACAGAATGGCCTAAATTTTGACATCAACCCACTTGGCAAAGTAGGTCTCCTCTCACATTTTGTACGATTTAACTCGGTGCATCTTAAGAAATAATGCATCTTTTCCTGGAAACCTAAATTCAAACAGGACAGCTCAAATCCCTCACAAGATCATTCATAGCAAAAGCAGAAGTTTGCACATAAGAAAATAAATTACTGCATTCAAATGATCCAATGACTAAATGTTTCTGGGGATTTTAGTTGTTCCATATAACCCGATAATATTTCAGTATCAAAACATTAACTAATATATTCATCTAATTAAGTTCAAATTAATTTAGCATATTTGGAGTTCCAAAAGCAGCCTGTCCCACGGTGATAAATCCTCGTCAAATCAAAGCCAATGTGATCAATCAACTTCAATGCGCAACTAAGCTATTACTCATTCAGTTGCCTTGCCTTTGCTTCTGCTGCTATTGCCCGTCTCCAACAAATAACACAGCATGGAATCAACATCATCTCCAAATATGCTGTAAGCCTCGATCACCTGCAGATAGCTGAACCCCATTGACAGCACCATCTGCATGCTGCTGCTGAGGACAGTATCACCCGAAGGTTGGGCTCTCCCACCATCGACGTTTGTTTCACTCCCTGACGGCCCTGCATTTGTGATTTCAAAACTTTTGGTCAAAATAAGAGCCCGATACCTAGGGTAATAAATGCATAATCTAACCATTTAGCATATTAAAGCTCCGTTTGTTTTGCCAGATAACATTTTTCAATGAAAATCGTTTCTCATGTTTGGTTGCAACCTTGACGGTGGCTGCGGAGATGGGGTAGTGGTTGTGACGGTGCTAGTGGCAGTGGTGCTGATAGGGGGAGGTGGAGGTGGAGGTGGAGGTGGTGGCAGTGGTGAAGTGGTGAAAGGTGATGGTGGTAGGGGTGGAGGTGGTGGTGGTAAAACTCTGATCCAGAAAATGTTTTCCCTCCATTCAAAAGAGGAAAAAAAAATTCCGCCTAAAAAGTTCGTTTCCTGTTGACCACGAAAAAAGTTTTCTGTTGACTCTCGTTTTCCGTTGTCCATTTTCACCAAAACAAATAGTGTAGAAAAAAAACTTAAAAGCAATTAACTAGCAAGAACTAAAAATCAACTAAATTATTTAATTACAATAAACAAAGGAAACTCACTAGCTCCAGATGATGATGGTTCAGCACCAGAAGTAGAAGATTCTCGCCAACCAAGTTGCTGCTTGAACTTGTCATCAGCAAGATACTCAAAACGAGAAGCTTCCATCACCATACGTTCAATTTCTTTTTCCGTGAGCTCAAGATCAGAATAAAATTTCCCTTCCGCAATGAGTACCTTTTATTAAAAATTTAAAAGGATTACCAATCATTTTAGTTATCTTGTTAAGTATGAAGTCTCAACAATTTGCTTCAATACCTATAAAAACAGACAAAAGACACTTACATTATCAATCTGTTGGTCTTGTTGAGCTTTCATAGCAGCCTTGACTTGATCCCTATCAACATTTCTCTGTAGCACAGAGCACAAACATACTGTCCTGAGTCAACCATTGGGTACTGAGGAATAACAAAAACAACTATGCTAGCAATACTTAACAAAATTTTATGACATTCAACATTTTAGTTACAATTGTGTTTGTTTGGCCTCATGCTAATATTATGATATTCAATGTGAAACAATTCCCAAACCAAAACCTCCCAATGCCCAACTCCCCCCACTCCATGGAAAATAGGAAAAATAAAAATGGAAAACAAGCCTGCCCTTTCCCTCGTACATTTTTTTCCTTATAAACCTTATACTACATCATTTGCTCTGGGAATACAATTACCACAGAGAAATAACAGTGAACCAAGACATAGTATATGTACATATCGACTCACCTCCCTCAGACAGCTAAATCCGAGCCCTGCACCAATCGTCAACCGCCGTGGATCAAAAAGTGAGTTGTAGTGATTCCCGTAATGACGACTTAGTCGTATAGGAGGCGTGTCAGTATTATAGCTTCCGTGAAATGTGTTGATAGGTTCTGCATTCATACAATATGGAATGAAAGTAGTTTAATGGTGAAAAAGTTAACAATTCTTCAAAATGAATGCCAGAAACATCTGATTCTAAAATAAAGCAGCACCTGTGCTATAGGAATAAATATGTATAGGCCGATTATACATTTCAGCCAATGCTTGGATCTCCACATTGTTTCCATAAACCTGAGACCCAAAAAAAAAATGTATATATATAATTATGAATGCCGAAATGACAAGGAAGCACTCTCAAACACAAACTTGGCAGAAAATTGATGCAAAATTAACAAGAAAATAATAAATAGGCATCATGGTTAGAATGTTATTCTCCAAGGATTACAGAAAAGAAAATTAAAAAAATAATAAACACTGCAACAGGCTGAAGAAAATGCACATCTGATTTGTTCGTCCATCTGCCTTGAACTTTTTCCTCTTGTAAACATAATTCACAAAGTCTCCATAAGGATGTCGCAATGCCTTTCAAGGCTTAATTTACGTTTCCCTGTTATGGGAATTGAACACCTGTGAAGAAGAATTATGTACAAGGCATCTCTGGTGATCATTACTCCAATTCATGGTCGTCCATTAAATATTAATGTCTCCCCATTTATTACGCAACTGACACAAACAGAGTTGCACAACTCCAATACACTACAGTCGCATAGCGGACTATGCACGATCACTTACGAAGTCCAAGGGACTTTTACAAATAAAACTTTCTCATTAATTTTTCTGAGTACGTTCGCATAATTTTTTCAAAAGCAAAAATGTAGGTTTCCTTACCCTAGCAAAATTAACGAACATGAAATTATAGCCTCTTTTTGGGATAGAGCAATGAACATAGTAATATCTTGTTTGAATGCCAGCATATAAATCATTTGATATACCTGTCCCAAAAGCTGAAGCCCCTCTCTCTTTTAACAGAAAAAAAACTACTAAAAAATAATATTTGTTAACCACCCTTAACGTGCAGTATTATGCCTTCACTATAGTACCACTAATCAAACAGTTGTTAAGACCAGAAAAAGTGGTTGGTTCACATTTTGCTCCATTGACCATTTAGTTAAAATGTTCAATCCATAAACATAGATACAACTAAAATGGAAAAGAAAATCATACTTGTCCGAATTTCTAAGTGGAACAAATAGTTTGAACACAATCTTTAGACACAAGGGTTTAGAATCTCATATGCACAACTTTTTCCAAAAATCCACATACCAAACATCCCACTAAAGCCAGCACACATTTTTAATTTCCAATTTTAACTCTTCACAGGTCAATATCCGAAAAATCATTTTAACATCCCAAATTCTTGATAAAATCCTATTTGATTCCATCTAGACAATTTTTATACTGTCTAAACCCTTCTTTCTTGATTTTCATCTACATAAGATTTCTTGTAACATTCCAAGACACAATTGTACTGAAAACAAACAGGGCAGAGAGAGAGAGAGAGAGAATGGTTCCCCAAAAACTAAAATAGTTATAACTTATAATCATTAAGGAATTTCACTAATTGCAAAAAGAACATAAGGAGTAAATCCTGCTTCCATACTTCTTTTTCTTTTGTTTGTTGTTGAAAAAGATGAAAAGAAGAGGTGGGCCCCAGAGATGTGCATGTGGAGGGCTATCAACGTAGAGCACCCTAGTGTTTTTGTACACCAGGGAAGCATTATGAGGAAAAGGTTGTAAATTTTAACTTTTTTTCACTACAACAACAGGGCTTAGGATTTGTAGAGATAATGGATTCCAAAGAAGGAAATCCAGATCTGAAGATTAATGGCTGCGAACAGACTAGAATTACAGAAATCCGCCAATACAGTGAGAATTACCCTACTCCAGGACTGTTTGAGATAGACACTCAAATCAATAGAAGAGTTCACACTCATTCTTTTAACAAAAAAAAACTTCCATTCCAACTCCAAAATCATAAAACAGCAATGTGCCCTTTATATAGATACTAGAAAACCCTAAAAAAGAATAGAGAGAAAAAATAGTCAGAAGTGTCACGGTAGCAGAACTCCAGCAAATTTGAGGTTGAAGGAGATCTGAATTTCCCACATCAAGGGGTTGCTACCCCAATCTTGAGCCGTCTTTTGCAGTTTTAAACCAATGAATTCATCCCCTCCATCACAATCCCAGTACAGGAAATATTGAAACAAACCAGAAGAAAATGACACCCAATTATAAAATCCAAAAGAAGAAATTCACTGAACTAAATTAAATATGTAGATGAAGAGGAGAAAGAATGAAAATCAGCACTAATTTTTTTTCCGGTGCATTAGTACATTTTCCTTTTGCACGAATAGGAACTGAAATTTTGTCTTTTCTCCCCACTCATTCTCTCTAAAGCGTGCATGTGGAGGTATTAGACAGTGATCACAGCCGTTATCTCCATAAATAGAATGGAGTATCAACATTTAAGTGGCTAAATGAGGTGACCATAGTTTGAGACGTTAAATTTAATTGATGAACATGTGGCCTTACCTCCAAAAAAGTTTGGAGGATTATGAAAATAATTAGTCTGGAGGGGAGCTGCTTCTCCCCTAATATGGAAGCCATAAAAGACTCAAAAGTCCAGCAAATTAGGTAATTTGTAAACAAGTAATTGGTTGGATTGCAACCTGTGGGTGATAGAGATTAGAGGTGATCAGACCTCTGGGAAGATGGCAGGCACTTCAATGGCCTGAGATCACTGGAGGTGGAAGAGGAGAAGACGAAGGTGTAACATGAACGGGGGTACCTGTGCGCGTTAAACAGTTCGGACCCTCAATTTTTTTGATCTAGTCTCATGAGTACAATGTGAAACGTAAACGAGAATCCACATTTGGCAACTTTTAGAAAATTCATCTTATTGAAAGAAAAATATTTGCCACAAATGAACTGTCATCAGATCTTAGAGTTGCTACCTAATATTTATTTTGAGAAAATTAGGAAACCCGTGACTCGTACCAAGGCCACTATTCGTAGTAACCAAAGTTGTCTCGGTTCAGAACCTTAGGTATGAGAGGGGAATGTCATTAATTGAGCACCCCCGCTCACCCGATCAAAAGATCGGCTTTTACTAAACCATGATATGAATTTTATTTTCTTTATATGTTCATATTCTGATTATTTAATAAATCTAAAAATTTACTATGTGAAGCATACAAGTATAGACTATGCCATTCATTTTGGAACAATTTGATTTCATATATTTTGAAAAGTTTTTAAGATGTACAATCCAAATAAATTAAGTTTACAAGCATGAAAAATCAACATCATTACAAATTAAGCGACACAACTTCCATCCACTGGCATTCATACAATTATATCATATAAGCAAATAGTCACATGTTAAGATACTAAACATAATAAAAAAATTATGTACAAGCGGGATGCTAAAGCATAACAACTTATATATTTACTGACGTCCCACGAGCAGCTACAAAACAAAATTAATAAAATATGCATGATCCTATATACAAAATCCAAATGCAATACATACACAAGAATGCTTCTAAAGATCCGGCTTCTAAAACATAATATGTGAAAAATTGCAAAACATGCGATAGCGCACAAAATCATGTAATAATCAATTAAAGCACAAAGATGCAAATTTAGCCGGATCTAAGTATGAATCATGTCTATAAAAGCATGGAATTTGAACTTTAATCCCAACCTTTACACATTTTTTTGGCCAAACTATTTTAAACCATAAAATCCTCTTTTCAAAATATTTGCTCAAATGTTTCTACGATGTTCCAAGACTCCTATTTTAATTAAAATATTGCACTTTTCAGTAAACTGAGTAAGGACAAAGTGGAAAAAAATGAAGCGAGGTGAACTCTTTCAAAAAATATTTAAAAACATCTTCTTTTTAGGTTTGGATAGGTTTAGATTTGAAGGAAACATGAGGGGATGGAAGAAAACTGGTTTAGAAAAAGAATGAGCATCAAATCATTAAGAAAGAAATGAACAACCTGTACTAAATTAGGCATATCTCTTTGTACACTTGAAATTTAGATGTGATGTCATCACCATTAAAAAGTAGACTTTTGGGGATTTAATTTAGACCCAAGAACCACCCAAAACCAAATACGGATAAAGGAGATATGCCCATTTGAAGTTGGGCTTAAGAGTAGATTTTGTTGACCTGACTCGAACGAAATGAACAGTCTTCACTAAATTAGACATATCTCTTTGTATACTTGAAATTTAGATGTGAGGCCACCACCACTGGAAATGAGACTTCTGGGACTTCAATTTAGACCCAAGAATCACCTAAAGCCAAGTATAGATAAGGGAGATATGCCCATTTGAAGTTGGGCTTAAGAGAAGATTTTGTTGACCTTGCCCAAGAGAAATAAAAAAGCCTTCACTAAATTAGACATATCTCTTTGTACACTTGGAATTTAAATGTGAGGCCACCACCATTGGAAAGTAGACTTCTGGAGCTTCAATTGACACCCAAGAAACACCTAAAACCAAGTCCAGATAAGGGAGATATGTCCATTCAAAGTTGAGCTTAATAGCAGATTTTGTTGACTCGACCCAAAACAGCAGCAGCCTCGTTTTTCTTAGTTTTGGCTCGGTTGGGACACCCCATTTACCTATTTTCTGATCCATTCAAGTGCACCAACTCATCCTCCATTATCTCCACTCACCCTTCACTATCAAAAGAGGTTTTGGCCTTGTCATAAAGGATAAATCAAAAGCAATAAAATCTTGATCATCATTGTCATCCTTATCATGCCCATCACCCTTGTCTCCCACATTGTCCCCCATTCCTTGACTTGTTTATTCCTACATGGTTTATACATTCAGATCACACATTGAAGAGGGAGAGGATGGACTGAAGGAGAAGGAAAATCATTCGAGTGAGTTAGAGAGAAAAGAGAGCAAAAGATGAAAAATTGTCTACATTGCAACCTTGAGCCAAAACACTTCCAAGCTTCCATAGCTACTAAAATTCCTTATTTCCATACACTAAAACCACTCCAAATTTATGATATAGTCAAAGATCAATTGCCTTGATCATAAGGAAGAGTGTTTAGTGATTGAAAATGAGAAAAACTAGAGAGTTAGCCACTTTCCATACCATAAACTCCATAATTTCGGATTGAGGATTTTAGAACACACTTCCTACACTTGAGGGTGATCAAGAGGGAGTTTGTGAACTAAGGAGTTCATCCTTTTCTTAGAAG